TAACGTACACGATAAGCGTGCGAGACAGATAAGTGCGCGAGACAAAAATCTTAACCTTCATCAGATAAATCGCAATAAAAATACAACAGATTATCTAATCAATTAAAATCAATTACTATATTAATTCTCAATAGCCTGAATACCCTCTTGACAGGTTCTTGCATTATGCCCGGCCTTATTGCATTTGCTACAACGCCGACCACCTGGTCGCTCTGACCTTCCTCGACCACCACTTCTCGATGATTCGCCTACTATCTGCATATCCACATCTGCCTGATTAATTATCTCTTGGGCTTCCCCTATAGTCATATTCCCTCTTCTCTGTAGGCGTGTTCTTTTTGCCCTACGCCGCCGGCTAAGCATCTCATTTGCCTGACGAAGGTCCCGGTTCTCAGCCTCTAATAAGGCTATCTTGTGTAGAAGAATGCTCTGTCCTTTCTCAAAATACTTCACAGCTTCAATTATTGACTCAGGGGAGCTGCTCTTGTGATTTCTGATCCTTCCTTGCAGATACTTAGATTGAGATTGGGTCTCTAGTATTGTCTTTGGGGTCCTTGAAGTCCAAGGGGTTGTAAGTTCAGTGACCTCCTGGGGAGGCGTTGGGGTCCGTAGTTGTATATCAAGCTTCGAGATAACATGTTCTGGGTTAAAGGGAGCAAGCCCGGCTCCTCTAAAACCTCCCTTAATATTTTTCTCAGTTATAGTAACTTGGAATGCGGCATAAAAGGCCAGGAAGAAGTCAGTCTTCTGGATATGGGTTATCCTCCTTTTGATCAGTTGGTCTATTTCTCGACCATATGCCTTTTTCAGCGGCCCAAAGCACCCGACGTCAAGGGGCTGAAGTAGGTGTGATGAATGAGGCGGCATACAGAGTGTAATAATATTGTGTTCCTCACAATATATCTGGAAATCGGCTGACTGGTGACTTTCATGACCATCGAGGATCAAAAGACGATAGGCACCAACTGATCGGTCAGTTGTAGCCCGATCAAAGTGCTTTAGCCAGTCGAGGCCCGTCTCATTATCTGTCCAGCCATTTTCAGTTGTGGCAATAACCCAGGTGGCAGGGAGGTTGCTTTCTTCATACCAGTTCTGAAGGTGAAATTCGCCTGTAACCACGATGAATGGATCAATCGCCTGGCCTTCTGCATTAATCGCTTGAATTACCGTAGCCCATTCCCGATTTCCAGGCTGGACTGATTTTGGGTTTCCACGCCTCTCTGAGCTGGTAATCACTATACCGGTTTCTATGTTGCCCATCATAAAGCCGGTCTCATCAAAGTTCCAGATATCATCTGCATAGATGCCGTATTTTGCGATTATGTTCTCTACGAGCCTAAACCAATTGCGAATGGTAGTCGGATCTTCGCATTGGGCCCTGCGATAGTCATATCTCCTCTGAAAACGCGTCTTGAGCTGTGGTTGCCGCTTAATAAAATTGATAGCCCAGCGCTTGCCAACTGGTGATGCGTCGCGGTCAGCAAGCAGTCGATTCGCCATTTCTTCAACATCACGATGCCGGGGAGGGAATCCTCGTGAATCTAGGTCAAGGATATACTGGACTATAACCTGTTCCTCTAGATCACTTAGTTTCCGAGAGCTGGGGATATAATCCTCACGGGCTTGCCTGCCCTGAGATCTGAAGTGGAGGGTCTGGAAGTGGACGTCATAAAGCTTTGCAGCTCGTCGCAGACTTAATTTTGGGTCAGCCTCATAGGCCTGAAGTGCAAGAATAATATCAGCCTCATTAGAAGATTGCAGCATGTTATTTGGTTGAGAATTAATTGATCTGATAGCAATGATTTAAGGTGAGGGATTTTTGTCTCGCGCACTTATCTGTCTCGCACGCTTATCGTGTACGTTAGTATTAATCTATATTAATAGCCTATTAGTAATTAAATTTATATAAGAAAATCTAAATAATATACCTTACTTATAGCATCTGCTGTATTTAGCAAGCTTATACCAGCTATTGGTGCGAGTCTATATATTGCTCTCTGCTATAAGCATTCCCTGATTTGCTTGCCTTGCCTAATGGATCTCTCGGTCCGTCATGTTTCACCACCTCGTCACCTTGCTGTCTTACCTCTGCGATCACCTGTGAAGCACGAACACGACACTGACACGGAAATAATATTTTTAGACACAGAAAAACGAAATGTTCGGGAGATAAGCCACGATGCAACAATTGCTAGCTATAGCTAATAAAGACTACCACGCTTACTTATATGATAAAGAGGAGGTATTTAGAACTAGAAGCTAGAAGCAAACTCTAATAATCTATCGTATTTTACTAGGATACTAATCTAGGCAGGATTCAAGGTTATTTTACCCTTACTATCCTTATTACTTTAGCTCTTAGATGCTATACTAAATACATCCTTCACTAACGCAAGATAGATAATACCTTACCTTAAAACTTATAATCAGAATTCAAAGCTATAAACTCCTTCCTCTTTTTAATTAAGCATTACCTTCAAGTTAAGGAGGTGCCTATCAAAGATATTATATCATAGCACAAACTCCCCAATAGAACGCCAGATCACCAGGAACGAATTTCTTGTCCAAAACCTATGAAGCATGTTGTGATCACGCTTCCAAGATCCTGTCTCTGTTGCACCGTGCGCAGAAGGCTGGCTGCTATGTCGATGCTTCAGTCTACGCATACTCGACATGTGTTGCTGGTAGCATTCTCTCCGCGATTATTCACGGAGGGAAAGCATGGGACAGGTTCCATCGCAACAGCTCTTAGGGTCTGGACGGCACTCGCTGGAAATCCTAGTCAAAATGGGTCATTTCTGGGACCACGCTGCCAAAATGGTATGTCTTATACCTGTTCGAGCCATGGGGTGATAACTGACTATTTTACTGCACACTCAACCCCTCAACATCAAGTACGGTGGCAAGGGCGAAGTGGTGGTCAGAGACCTAAAAGGTGCCGACAAGATGGACTCCGGTAACTACCGTGCCGGCGAGGGTCCTCTCCGAGCTTTCATCGCCGCTATAGCCGCTGAGTTCGGCGACAAGAAGATCTACAAGGAGGCACTTGATCAGCTTGATAACATCTACTTCCTTATTAAAGCTACTAAAATAGGATCGCTTTATAATAATGGCCTTTTAGCTATTACTTAGATAGTTGCCCTAATAGCTTATCTAATCAAGTAATTTAACTTAATTAATATTATGCTTTATAGACCCTTTGAGAAGGCATTAAGTAGCCTTATCCTCAAGGAGGTGCCTTTTCTAGAAGTACTTATTACTAAGGTACATAATAAGGATAGAAAGAAGCTTAATCTTATAATATATAATAAGAAAGAGGTAAAGGTATTTAAAATTAGGTTTAGGTATTTAATTCTAGGTTAATAGTATTTTATTAATACTAGAGGATTTATTACTATAAATAGGGCTAGTAAGGCTTTTATTAATACTAAGATTAATATAAGAACTTAGATTATCTTAAGACTAGCTAATTAGTTAAGCTAGTTATTACTTCTTTTAAGTCTTTGCTTTAAATCATTTAGGAATAATATCTAAGCTAGTATATGCCATAACGTAGCACTATATACTCTGATAAATGCCACTTTAACTACTATAATGTAATATTAGGCTTAAATATATAATAAGATAAGAAATAAAGTATATAAATAATATATTATATATTAAGGCTATTATAACTAGTATTTTAAATTTTAAATTTATTAATCTAATTATTAATTTATTTTCTTAACTTATTGCAGAGTTAGGATTGAGATAACTATAAATTAAAAAGTAGCTTGCTAAGTCTGCCTATTTTACTAGCCTTATTCTATATTATAAACCTGCAGAAGCCAAATTATTTATTAGAAATTACAGAAGATAAAATAGAAAAGAATATTTTATATTTATAAAGGTGTATATAAGGCGTAGTAAGATTCTGCATAGCCGCAGAACTGCATTTAGCCTATCCTAGTGACATCGATTTAGTTACTAGGCATGGTATATGTTAGAGGAATTTTGAGTCACAGCGAAGGGATTTAGAGGTTAAGGGATCTGAGAAGTACGGCGTGGCTGGATGTCACATAGAGAATTAAGAAAAACATTATGTTTAACAAAATATACATTAAACGGGGGCTCATCAAGTTCAATGATGGCCATGGCACCAGTTCATACCCCGTTGTCTTTCGTGACCTTCAAGGTGTCGACATTTTCCAAGGTATTCATAGGACCAAAACCGGACAAACTACGCCTCTTCGGCGACGAACTTAAACTTCACAGTCAGGTAGTCACAGAGTAGGGCTACCCTCCATGTAACACAGCTTGATATCAGTGGAATAATATTAGTAAATGGGCGTTTGGTGCTCCAGTCTGTTGCAGGATTGGTTCTTAGTAGTATCGAAAAATGTCAGAGAAGGGACCCAATTAGATGTGAAGAATTGTAAATAGCAGTAGGTGAAAGATCAGACTGGTAATTCTTATTGTTCGGCTTGGTTCTCTATAAGCCCATTACTCCCAACCCTGGGGCCTGTAATTTCACTGCTTCTACGCTGACTCCTGAAACTTCTTCATCACCTCCTCGTGGCTAGCCGGCATAAGAGCACCTTCTGGTGCAGGATTCTTGCTCTTGAAGTAGTCGCTCATCTGGTAAATGTCAGCAATATAAACTTTATCAAACGCACTTGGGATGAGTGGCAACTGACCTCTGCCATGGTGACCCATTCGACACCTTCATGCTTGTTGATGTGCTCGATGATGCGTTCGTGCATCAGGAGAACGTGGGGTCTGCCTGACACATCGGGGTGGATAGTCATGGGGAAGATGAATTCGTCTATAGAGCGTTAGTAAAACGAAAGATTACATCCACCAAGCTTGGTGGTTCACTGACCATATTCCCGGTAGAAGTAATCGAAGTGGTCTTTCCAGATATCTTCGACATCTCTGTATGTTCTGTCAGTTCCAGTTAACAACTAGCATCTGAGAAGACTTGCCTCGGGTTGACCCATCCATGTGAGTTTGGGGAGTTCTTGATGAACATCATGGGCGGTAAGTCATCTATGTACCAAGAGCCAGGTATTTCGACCATGCCCGTCTCTTTGCCCTTTTGCAGTGGCTTCATCCACTCCTCGGCCTTCTTGGTGTAATCAATCTTGGTCCATGAGTCGCCTGTCCGCAGCCAGTATGCCTGACAGTCGTGATGAGACATTGAGTGGTCATACTCGATTCCGTAGCTAAGCATCAACTCGGTCCCTTCTTCACTTGTCTCCCACCAAGGCGCCACGCTTCCCTTGGGCGGCTTTCCGCAGAAGTCGGTAAGTAACTTCCATGTCTTGTGCAAAACGTCTTTTTGCTGCTCGAAAGTCATGTCCACGGGGTTTTCGTGGCTGTAGCCATGTAGCTGTTCTCGCTTAGCGGAATGCCTATAATTTGTACAATTTTATGCTTACACCTATCTCATGTCCAGCATCTCGGACCATAGCACACTCTTCTGGAAATGTTTCCAAGCTGTGTCCAGGGATGAACCATGAGGCTTTGATGTTGTACTTCTCAAATAGCTTCAACAAGCGTCGGGTGCCAATTGTTCCCGCCCAGAGGCCTGTTCCCCAAAGAATTAGCAGTGAAAATATGATGCGCGTTGTTTTGCTGACCTCTGCTAATGTCGCTTGTGCTGTCTTCGCCTCCGTATGATCCCAACCAACCGGCTACGGCATCGATATCCACACCGTAGCTGGTACCCTGGTTAGTGAAATGTTCATTGGTCGAATGCAACCCTTACCAGACCAAAACCTTCTTTTTACCCATGTTGTTCAAGTAATTCTCAGTAAAATAAATACAATATGCCTAGGAAATGCACTGTCTACGTCAACTCTTTACAACGCGGTCAGGTCTAATGCCATATAACTTGAGCTCAGAGATACTCCCAGAACGCGGGGTTCTTGTGTTACAGCACCTTGGAAATGGGACATACCCCCACTTACTCCCTGATCGGTATCAGATTAGTTCCCGCTGGCGGTATCAGGCGTTATCGCAAGTGGAGTCTGTGAAAGCGAGCCGTTGCAACCCCCACCCCCATTTTTGAACTCAGTTTTCGGTACGAGGTTGCAAGTCGAATCGGATAGCAGTCCGTCGTATGATGGCCCGCTAGACTTTGGAACCCTATCGTAGAAAGACAGCCAGTCTCGTGATTCACTACAAAGGTAATTTGACATGTATGTGAGTTCTTACACTGAACATCGCAGGCGACAAATTGTTGCAGCTTCTCTCACATTGCGATACTTTTAATCTCAACCAATTATATCGTATACCTTGTTCAAAATGTCAAAGGTCAGTTACTTAGGACCAATTATGTTCCCAGATCATGTGCTCACATTGTCTCGCAGTTCTCACTAGCTGGCCGCTTAGCCGTTGTTACTGGGGGAGGTCGAGGCTGCGGTTTCGCGTTTGCCCAGGGGTTGGCCGAAGCCGGCGCCGACGTTGCCATTTTCGACGTGATTGAGCCCTCTGCTCCCGAAGTCGAACAGCTTATTTCCAGCTACGGGGTCCAGATCAAATCTTACATTGTGGATGTAACCGCGTTGTCGAGTCTAAAAGAAGGTTTCGCCGCTGTGGCTTCAGACTTCAACAACAGGCTAGACATCCTGGTTGCATGCGCAGGGGTCAACAAGAATGTGCATTTCCTCGACACAGAAGAGGAAGACTTTGACAAGTTATTTGCCGTTAATGCTAAAGGTGTTTACTTCTCTGCAAAGCTGGCAGCTCAAGCCATGATCGGAAACGAGACCAAATGCGGAAGTATCATTCTCGTGGCCAGTATTGCTTCGCATATGGCTATTCGATCTCAGAGGTCGACAGCTTACTGTGGTACCAAGGGTGCAGTGAGAGCAATGGTTGCTCCGATTGCTGCAGAGCTTCAGGAGCATGGGATCCGGGTAAACTCAATCAGCCCCGGCTATGTCAAGACAGCGATGACAGCACCATTCCCAGACTTGATTGAAGGATGGAAGGACGAGATCATGAACCGCCGTGTCGCGGAGCCTGACGACATTAAGGGAGCCTGTGTCTTCCTGGCCAGTGATGCCAGCGCGTAAGTTATTGCCACGCCATTTTTGAACTGCCAGTTATACTTAACAATCACCAGGTATTGCACGGGCTCCGATATTCTTGTTGATGGAGGTGTCACAAAGTGGTAATGTCATTAACCCTACCTCTCCAGAATTACAAGGGAAAAGCAAAGAAATACAAAACTCTATTATTATTATTATTAGCCAGCACTTGAACGTTTGAGGCATGTAGTTCGTGGCGCACTGCAGCAATGGTTTTAAATGTTCTAGACCAGTCTCCTGGATATGAGTCCCGATGTTGCCGTAAGACAAACCCTGTAAACCTTACATGCCCGACATCACCTGAAGAATTGACAGCGCTGGCATGCCGGTTAGGAGCCGAATGATAGTCTGTTAAAATGACATAGGTATTGAAATGTCTTAAAACCATTTATCAAAGATATTGCAAATACTCTTTTTGCATTGAGTTTCATTTAATCACGATCCTGTTGCATCCGTTAAAACACAATAAGAAGTGGTCTGTTCTTAGCTTAGTTTACACGCCAGCTTTCAGGCGATGCAACCATATATGCCTGCCTTGCCAGGGACACTGATCAGTCTTGAAGCAGCTATAAAGCTTAAATAATCCAAGAAAAGGATAAATACGAGTTTAAGATGATTTACTCTTACCCAAGGGAAAGGGCTAGTCTCAGTATCGCATGACATGTACTAGGAATTCTTTGCTTCAAGTATTGAACATAATGAAATTCATACTATTTGTATTTAACTATTAAACTCGTCACACAACCATTTTCCAATTCTCATAATCACACTCTCTCTATACTCTCTCATCAATCCTCAACTTATCAATCATTATGCGGACTATTGCAGTACTCACTCTCTTTGCACCACTGGCAACGTGCACCATATTCAACATTACAGGATCATGCGCTAACAGCGATATCGGCCCTGTTTGCGTGATTACGACCAGTGTAGTTAACCCAGCCAAAGTCTGCAATGGGAAAGCTGGGGCGTATGCAGGAGATGGAATCAATGGGATGACGAGCTGTACTGGCATTGGTTCCCCTTGCACTTATGTTTGGCGATGCTAGACATTGTTCCTCAGCATCGAATTGGTCAGTCTCGAGTTAAATACCTTGTCTCACATACTAAATATTTATACAATAGTCTCAACACTCCCAGAGGCGCATATCATGATAGTAAAATAAGGAAGACAAAGGGTTTATTGGTTTGAGGTCTCAGTATATATTTAGCTGAGGGGCTTGGCCTACTCACCGCTCAACCAAGAGCTATATTGTTTTGGATTTTCTTTCTGTATACTCATCAATCGGAATCAACTCACTTATCTCTTACTCTTCCTCCATGCCATAAAGTTTCCCACAATCACACAAAGTACCTCCAACGTGGATCTTGTTCACCATGCGTGATTTCGGAAGTAGCAACATCCTCAGCCTTTAGTTCAACACCTTGTGCCTCGTTTTTCATACGGTTCTGCTTCCTCATCCAGAATCCCAATCCCAATGTGAAAAGAATGCAGGTGACATTGCAAGCAGCTGTGCCAATCAGGGTTGGTGCATAGCGAGGTGCATAAGTTGTTCTGAACGTTCCAGCGGATAGAATGCCACCAAGATTACCGAGACCTACGAGCAGACCAGTCGTGGCCGCTCGTGAGTTCTCACTGAGATTGTTGTTGTTGTGCCAGCTGTGAACTAGACAACTCGGGATATATGCCCCAGCACACAGCATAAAACAGGCGAAATAGGCCACTCCAATGTGCGCTTCAGCATCAATGATGGCGAGGATGAGTAAGCCAACGAGACTTGTAGACAGACTGCCAACAATATGCAGTGTTCTTTCTCTGTTGCGATCAGAGCTCCAGGTAACTGCGAGAAGAACCAAAAATCCTGCAACGTTGGGAGGCACAGTCAGAAGGTTAGTGATTACCGTGTTATATCCTAAACGACGGATAATAAGCGGCAGGAAATTGGAGGTAGTGGAGAAGGCGACGGGGTATGTCAGGCTGATGACACACCATACAGCGAATCTCCAGCTGTTCCAGCTCTTGAAGCATTCTTTGAGATTAAAATCTTCGCCAATAACTCCACTCCCATCGCGGAGAGCTCTTTGTCTCGCAACATGCTTTTCTTCTTTTGTCAAGAACCAGGCACTTTGCGGGTCGGCGGGAAGCCACCAAAAGGCAAGGATTCCCAACAACACAGTCATTGTACCTGAGATTCCCCCTGGTCAGCAAGGAATATTCACAGTTCCCCCTTGCAGCACCTTTGGCTTACCTTCGATTAAAAATAGCCACATCCAACCATGAATATGGGAGACCTTGATCTGGAAGACTCCAAACGAAATCAGACCCGAGAAAGCACTAGCAAGCAGCGCACTGCCAAAGAAGATCGCGATACGAAAGCCAAGTTCGCCGCGCTGGTAAAAGAGTGTCAGGTAAAAGACCGCACCAGCAAAGAAACCGGCTTCAAAAGCACTGTGAGCTGTCAGGAAAAGTTCATAATTGACATATGGAGGTTGTTACAACTTACCCTAACAGGAGACGGATGGCCAACATGCCTGCAAAGTTCTTACAGGCAGCTTGTAACAAGGCCATGGAACCCCAGCCGACCATGAGGGACGGCAGCATGATTCTACCAGAGAATTTCTTCAGGAGAAGGTTAAGTGGAAGATCGCAGAGACCATTTGGCACATAAAAGAGGAGGATTAAAAGTGAGAACTCTTCGCCCTTGAAGTTGAGGTCTTTGCTCATTCCATCTGTCTCGGCGTTTCCCAGGTTACTCTGGTTTCGTTAGAAGAGTCACTGGTATCTGGGGCAAGACTTACTCTGTCAACAGCATTGAAAAAGTACATGACGCTCAGATATGACAGGAGCCATGCGTCCATCTTGCGCACTACCCAATGTCAGCATGGGATATTTCACGGGTTCTTTTCAAGGCCACTGACGGTAAGATCGCTCAGCAGCTGCATCAACAACAATCTGGGAACCGTTCTCCTGGTCAAAGGCCAGAGACTCATGATGTTTGTGCTTATCTTCGGAAGCCATTGCGATAATGCGGCTGTCAGTTATCCAAGTGGTTTTTGCATGAATGAAGTTATTGATTGCTGGTAACACATTACTCGTCATTGCGCAAGTGTTAACCTTTCTATAGCCAGGCCACTGGCTGTATCATTGTGATATCTGCAACCGGGACCACGATCCGTAAGCCAATGATCTTTAATCCCTGCGGAGGGGAAACGACTCTATCTCAGCCAGCACATTGGAAGTGGGCTTCATATGAGGTGTTCGTACCCAGTACATCCATCTCAATCGGTTAATATAGCTTCTTTTGGTACCATTTACTTGGCATACTACAGTAACCTGCCATCAAAAATGGGGGCACCTGCTGTAGGATCGTCTCATCCGACAGCTTTATCTAGGTGGGGAATAACATGGGAGATAATCAGGAGCCGTCCCAATGGCGCTTTTACCCCCTCCTCATCCCCATCCCAACCCACAAGTGTATCTATCCGGGAAGCTCACCCGCGATGCCTTCTGAGGGGACTCTTCGGGACAAGGTTCTCGTTCAGTCGGTGCGAGTTCTCTTGATGTTATCGTATCAGATGTGATTGCTGGTTAATGAATGGCGGCATGAGACCCACTATGATTGATTTAATTTATGAACCTCTTGTTCTCTATTGTGAGTGTAGTAAAAAGGACAAGCAGGTTGTTTATGAGCCGGATTCGAGGTAATGGAAAACATTCTCGTCAATTTCCTGCAGTGCATCGATAAGTAGAGTCTCGACGGATGAAACGCTGGATTTTCTACTGCTGAATTTACGCTATGGCTTCAAGATCTTCAAGGGACCAAGTGCTGAGGAGATGGCGCAAATAGATCAGGCAAACCCAAGTAAGCGCCCTCTTTAGCCTAGGGTTCATTATTTTCAATGCATCTATGACATTGTGCATCGGAACCGGTTTATTAAACGAACCATTCATTTAATAGTCAAGACTTCTAATGACATACGAGTAGTAATGATACAATGTTACTGGGACCTGTGGCTGAGAGCTTGTATCACCACATAGAACTTAGATACAATGATACATCAAGCTGCGACCTGCTGAAGAGGCGTACTTTCCACCTTGCTCTCAGCCTTCTTCTCCAGGCCCTGCTTGTACAACTGAGCTCTTCCGTATGACTCCGCATAAGATGCTGACACGACCTCCTCGACAGTAGCTGGCTTGAACTTGGCCTCCTCCCCAGGTGATTTGCAGGTTGGGATACAGTCTACAACGTAATCTGGGTTGCCAGATACAAAGACTGGGATGGAGTATCGCTCTTTACCAGTCTTGTTGATGACGCGATGGACGTTGCTCTTGTACTTCTCGTTTGTCCAACGAGCCATCAGGTTGCCCAGATTGACAACGAATGCTCCCTTGGTTGGCTGGACCTAATGAGGATTGTCAGACTTGCCTTCTTCTAAAGTCAGTGGCGTCGAGACTTACATCAATCCAGGTGTTGTTCTTCTGATCCCAGACTTGAAGGCCATCGACATCATCTTGAAGAAGCATTGTGATAGCACCGAAATCGGTATGGGCTCCAATACCTCGAGTAAGCTTCTCGTCAGCATCCTTAGGTTGAGAAGGATAGTGCAGGAGCCTCATGGTAGCAACAGCACCATCCAGGAAGTCACTGAAGTAGTCCTCCTTGAGGTCAAGGGAAAGTGCTAGTACCCGCATAAGATCAGAGGCAAGGTTCAGTGTTGACCTGTAGTAATCCATGGTCTGGTACTTGAAGTCCTCCAAATCGTCTCCCAGGGCTTCTGGCCACTGGTTGGGGCCACTGTTGAGCTTCTTATTGACAAAATAGGGGTGAGACTTGGGAATCTCATCGCCAATGTAGAAACCCTCTTTGAGTTCTGGCTGCGTGCCTTCCTCAAGAATCTGTGACCTCAGCATCTCATAACCACGGTTCCAAGTGTTGTTATTCTTGGAAACCTTCTCTTTTTCCTCCAGAGGGAGGTTGAAGAGCTTCTTGGCGCACTGCAGGGCTTTGGCCTGCTTGTCTACAGGAACAGAATGTCCCAGGATCTGGAAAAATCCATTGTATAAACAGCTTTCACGGACCTGGTCTACAACCTTCTTCTTCTCAACTGGGTCTTCTGAGTAGAATCCTAGATCAGTTAGACTGGGAGCTGAGAAGAGTCAACGTTCATCGCTTACCAGAGAAGTCAATGATAGGAATCTCAAGCTTCGCCATGATGAATTGTAGCTTTCGGATTTATTGCAGTCTCGATTAATAAAAGTCAGCGTGTTGGGCAATGTGGCAGAATATTAGACAGATGATGCCAGATATAATTCCCAAAAGACTAAATCCATCTACATTAATGATGTTGAGGTAAAAATAACCCACTCTGGGAGCGAAGCTTCCGACTCCAAGCTACTTGCTTACTGTTGAAGATCGGAGATTCGGAGACCTCCGGGATTACCCCCAACTTTGCATTGTGAGCATAACTTGCATTAAACTGAGATAGGCTTGAATGCGGGGGGTTGTGCGCAGTACCCACCCTTGACTCTCAAAAGTGGGCGCGTTATGATAACGTATGCCGGACTGCCAAGATGCGAATTGCCGGCTATGATCGGAAATTGCCTGCTGAAGGAACGAGGGGTCAGCAAATTCATGACCAACCAAGCTTGTCGGTCCATTGCGAGACGTCGGTAGATGAGGCTGTGTCGGAAGTTGGCCCTTAACTTAGTAAGATTTTCGCCGTAAACGAGAGCATTTATATTAATGATAAATAGCAAGGGGAGGCAGCGTGCCTTGCTATCAGTCATTTACATCGTGGGACTTGATGTTGCTGTTTGAGATAGGGTATAGGATCATGGTTATAATATTTTTATATTTGGTACTCTTAGGTTTAATAGTAGAGGATACTTTTAAGACAATAATAAAATGTAATTTAAATTATAAACTATTTTCTTTAATAAGACTTTTACTTGTTAAAATATATGATATAAAAACAAATAAGATATTTAAAATGCCCAAGTTTAGGGTATCCTATAATGTCTTATCTTATTGTATCTTATCTGCCCAGCGCGTCTTTCCCTATCGCCGTTAAACCTACGAAGTCGCGTCATTCAATAACAAAGAACATGCAAGCTGTGGCGCGAAACGCTTAAGACCATTATGAAGAAATTATGCAGATACTAACTTGTGTTTCTTAGAAAAAGCAGGTTTTGGTTACATGTGCCATCTGCATTGAATAGCCAATGTAACTCTCTAGATATCAGCCGAAAAAAGGAACACCGCTTGAAGACGTACGCTGCGCTCCGGAGGATCGGTTAAAATGTCCATCCGGGGGGCCATTCCCGTAACAAGTACGCAACCCTTGTCTGCAAGGCACAGCCGAACTTCAGCTAGGTCATCGGCCCAGTCAGATAATGTGGCCAAAGGGCGGTGCGCTGGCTTAGATTCTAATACGTCCAGATCAGCGACTGGGACAGCTGCACAGGCAAGGCGCAGAAAGTCAAACAAGCAAGGAAATGCTGGAAATGAGATCGTTTTGCTCGTCCAAGCACTAAAACTAAGCCTCCTTCTGGATGGATGGATCGCTAGGCAAATTACAGGCTTGTTGCTTGGCCCACTTCTTGCACGATCTACGAGGCTAAACTCTTTCCAGTATCAACGTGCCGCTCTCAGCCTTACAACAGGTATGATGTCAAATTGCTTGGCGACGATATGCACAACAATGTTAACAATCAAATCTGTATTTAAGAGTTCAAGACTTGCCAAAGACTGAAATTATCCCAAGAGACATTACACTTCACCCATACTACTCAACATGCGTTTCGAATCTTTGGCCTATATGGGCCTTGCTGGCTCTGCAACAGCCAGCGTCATCCTCTCAAATGATGTTCCTCTTACTGGCCCCTCTTTTCTCCCTAACTTCGACATTTCTAAGACAGATTTCCTCAATGAAGCCAGGGAAAAGTTCCCATCATTGGTCGAAGAACTCTTTGATACCAAGATCCTGAATAAAACAGACCTCATTTTTGCGGTTGATGTCTTTTCAGCCTCGACCAATGATTCGCTTTACAGTTACTTCCATGTCGGCGACACATACAAAGATACTCTCACAAAGGGAAAACTGACTGAGGATACAATCTTCAGGACTGGCAGCGTGACAAAGGTCTTCACCGTGTATGCTATCATTGCTAAGGCTGGCATTGAGGCATTGAGCTATCCTGTGTCCATTTTTCTGCCTGAGCTTTTGGGTAATTCGTCTAGTAACCCACTGGAGAGAATCGACTGGAGTGAAATTACTGTGGGGGCACTTGCTACACATCAGGCTGGCACCAGTGGCCCTGGAGGTAAGTTTGCGGCAGTACCTTAGGTGGTCCACTGAGTACTGACTTAAACAATAGAATACTTTAAACTCAACCCGAATACCACTGGGGACGATCGAGAAGGTAAGTAGGACACCTAGTGGATTGGGCCCTTACTTACGAGACCAGGCTTTCTTGAATTTATGCGGGATACACAGGTCCCTACTATGGGCCCTTGGCGAAGTGCGCTGTACTCCGATGCCGGGTTTGGCGTTCTGACTTTGATCCTTGAGCGGCTTACTGGCCAAGAGTACAAAGACGCAATTAAAGATATTATCTTTGAACCACTTGGAATGGACTCTTCCTCTGCAGTGGTTCCCAATGGCTCAGACGTGGATGCCGTAGCCCGGACTGGGCTCAAGTCATGGGGCATTGATGTCCCTATTGTGGCTGGGTAAGTCAAGTTTCGGAATGTGCTGTTGGTGAAATAAACTAACGACAAGAAGATCTGGTGGCATCTATTCATCTGCCAAAGACCTGCGACTCGCGGGAATCTCTATCCTGAACTCCGACCTCCTCTCATCTTCCACTACTCGGGAGTGGATGAAGCCTCGCAGCAGCACTGGCACCCTCGTCGAGCTTGTCGGGGCACCCTGGGAAATCACACATCTCACCCTCCCTACTGGCCCTGGCTCGAACCGCACCCGTGTCTCTGACCTATATCTCAAGGCTGGCGGTAACGATGATTATACCTGCTTCATCGCCCTTTCGCCAGACCATGGTATTGGCTTCTCGATTCTGATTGCCGGCGAAACTGCCACCCCTGCGCGTTGGCCACTTCGCGACGTTACAGGAACAACCTTCATCACAGCAGCTGAGTACGCCGCGGCGGAAAGTGCCGAGAAGGACCTCACCGGTACATTCGTCGTCAAGGGCTCTGAGACAACAAACATCACCATTGAAGTCACGAAAGGAGAGCCTGGATTAAAGTTGAAGTCCTGGTACGTTAAAGGACAAGACGCAGTTGAGGATACTTCGTCACGCCTCTACCCAATGGGTCTCTACTCCAACTCTCGCTCTCTAGCCGCACAATACAATATCAAGGGCAAGTTTTCTACAGCTTTCCGCGTGGTTTCTGGACTTGCAACCCCTGCACCTCGTGCTGCCGTTGAGGGCGGCAAAGGAGGATTGTTCGACCAGAGTCAGGCTTGGATGAATATTGGAGCCTCCGGGACTGCCGATGAGCTCATCTTCCATATGGAGGATACAACAGTCGTTAGCATCATTAGTCCCTACGATGGGACGGAATTTGTTCGAGTAGACTAGGGGACGATGGACTTGGTTATGTTTTATAATAGTTAAATTACCTTCACCCTGAGACCTTGCTTATTTAGAAACTGTATAAACTCTGCAGGCAACTTTTGCTCTTACTATCTTGTCCAGACTCTGAGAGTGTATCAGAACTTTGTCTCTTTAAGGCTAACATTTATGACACTGGAGTAGATATTGGATTTCTAATAATCTTTTAGTTAAATCTCCTAAATAACTCCGAGATACCTTAAATAACCTTAAGTTATATAGAATGTTTTACTTGCTAACTTACCGAGGAATTAACTCCTAGTTTGTGGAGTTAACGCCGCAGAATCTTTAATTTTCTTCTTAACTAATGACGCGCTTGGCTGATAGACACGTCCTCTGGAGGTAATGACTTAACCTGTAGTTACATCCAAGCCGTAACCACATTCTTACCTAGGTTATTACCCCTCACATTGAAGATTACTAAAGATCTTCAATTGGACAGCCTCTTTGAGTTTGGGCAGTGCGGCTGAAAGCTTTAGCTGAAAATCTTTATGAGGCATTTATATTAAAGTTCTTATTAAGTTTTATATTATATTTCACTTAGAATAGAATATCGGGATCTGCTTTAGGCTAACCAACCTATTTATAAAAAGTCTATCTGACATAAAATCAACTTCACACAACAAAATTATAAAAAGTCGCTCTCCATGGTGCCTACAATTGAGTCCCCTAAAGATCGAATCAGCGCGGCAGCAGCTGAAGGAGAGCGACTCCTCTCGGTTATCGCTGCCACTGAAGATACTGCAGCTACTCTAACACAGGTCAAACTCGACCTTGCTGCACTCAAAAACATTTGGTATGATGCAGACGCGTTATATAGCGAATTGTCCGCTCGACTTAAAAAGGAACAGAAGGAATTCGAAGATCTACGAGGCAGCCACATAAAAAAATTCTTTGCTGGTTCACAGTATAAGGAGAAGCTCACCAAGGAGGAGAATGACGTGATAGAGTTGCTGGAGTGGCAGGCCAAGGCGGACAAGACGCGCAAAGAGCTCAAGGCCAAGCTGGATGACATGAAGGAGCGGAGGCAGAAGTTAGAACACATGCTCGAGCAACGTGTGCAGGCCCTGAATAATCTTGATAACCTTTATGCAGTTGTCTTTGATGGGCCTTCGCCAGATAATGCTGAAGAAGATATGCTCGAGGCAGAGATGAAAGCAGCTCAACAGGTAATAACAAAAGTTATTTTCCATCGTTTTCTTTAGGGCCTAACGTTGACATTCTCAAGATATTTATTCCCATACAGAACCGCTATAGCCAAGTGGCTTCAGTGTTTAACTATATCACCATGGCTCGCTCACGCGTCACCTTCGCCGCCGGAAGCGCAGCAAAGGCGCTCAAAATCTCCGAATCAGATATCTTTGATCTGAAAGCCGGAGCTGGAATAAGAGCTAATCATAACTTCAATTCCGCTGTTGCTGACCGGAAAGAGCGTGAAGAGTTGGGCCTGGTCCGGCGTAGTCTGGCTGAGGCCTCGCAATTCCTCGCTCTGGCTCACGAGCTCGATCCCGAAGTCGGCGGGTTTATAATGCCCAAGGTCGCAGACGGGAAAAGCGCCGTTGGCAGACTCGACGACTGGATCAACACACCGGTGACTGACTACTTGTTCCACCGGGAGATTAAAGCAACGGCAGAGGGTATAGCTGCGGCGGGCGCGATTGTAGACGAGGAGCTGCGATTGGTCGAGGAGAAGAAGAGCGTATGGACTGAAAAGAGGGATGCTGCAGGTAAGGACCTGAAACACGCAAGAGAGAAACTGCAACAGTTACGAGCCCGGATCTTCGAAGACGCTGTCAATGGTCAAGGAAGCTCAACAGTACCGTCTTATGAGCAAGCGACAGCAAACGAGCACCCACCACAATATATAGCAACAGAACGTTAAGCCTTTAGTTATAGCTAATTGAGCTATCAGAATAACTAATTATTATTCATATTTTGACATTTCTTCAACACCTGGTCCAAGCCGATCAAGCTCCTGCAGCTTCGAGTAGTGGACTGTACGGCAATCGTGAAGTGATTTGGTGGCCGTGAAAGGTAGATATCCGATAAACCCAGCATCGTCTTGTTCTGGATTAGCGGAGACTTCCACAATCAGTCCTTCGTCATCGACTGTAACCGCGCGAACTTTGGGAGACAGGTAATCGGCGAATTGTACCAGTATTGGAACCTCAACATCCTCTTCAGGCGGGAAGAGTTTGGCGGTGCCTATGACCTTGATCATGCGCAGTTGATCCCAATCCCAGACATTGCAATGGGTAAGGGTTTTGGGGTTGTCGCTCGAGCCAAAATAGGCCTGCCCTTCGGTCCAGGACCTTTCTTCGTGTTTAATCATAGTGGTTCAGAAAACAGAACCAAGGGGGGACTGCAAGCAACACGTGCGGAGGGCTTTTGCCGAATTGAATACAGTTGGCGAAGGTATGTTATGCTGCAGTGAGATAAACCCCAGGCACTGGACGGGCTTCTACAGTGTGCCCGTCTTCGGCAAAACAGTACTCAGAGTCTTAGTAAAGTCGGCACCGACCAAGCTGTCTTTGGCGTTCAATGCCCAAGGTCGGGTTGTAGCACTATTTGTACGTAGCCTTCCGCAGATGATATTTAATAGAACAGCTCGCCCTCGACAAGTGGAATCAAGTAAACTAATTCTCTGAGCCAGAAAGGATCTAAGCCTCAACTATTGTTTACTATTTTGTTAAAGTTTGTCGCCATGTCCACTACCCGACCGTCATGATGGTATCCGCAGAACCCCAGGTCAAACATTTAAAGCCTGGATTCGGCGTTGAAGTCCATGGGCTCGATTTCGCAAATGATGTCACAGACGGGGACTACCATCTACTTGTAGAACTGGCAACAAAGGTAAAGAATTGCATTCTCTAACCCATTACTCGTAGTTCTTGTACTTACCCTGTCATAGTATGGAGGAGTGGTTATTCACAAGACCCAGCTAGATGGCAACGCTCACATGAACCAGGTCCGAAAGTTTAAGAGCTCGATAATATAAAGCCCAACAACCAAGCCGGCCGAGTAAACCGCTTGGCCTATAATGAACACTTTGACGCCAGCAACATAGAGCATGACAGCTTCATTGTTAACCACAACAGTCCTCGAGTACAGGCAAACAAGGGCAACAGCCTCTTCCACGTCGAGTCTAGCTTCAATCCTTAATAGTTTCTTAGAATTAATTCTTAAAGCTATTTAATCTGTTACTAAAATAGTAAAAAGAAATATATATAAGATTTCCTTATTAAGGGCTAACAATTAAGAGCTTTAATAAGTAAGTAAATTACTTAGTTAATAATAGAAAATAAAAAAGCCCTGTTAATAGAATAAATATAATATAGTTATACCAAAAAGGTTAAGATATTATTAAAAAGATAGATATAAATATATCAATAATAGCTAAGTTATATAAAAATAGTAGTTAAAGAAGCTTAATACAATTAAGAGTTTAATAATATAAAGCTTATAATAAAATTAAATATAATATAAGAACCTATTAGGACGGAATTAAGGCCTCTGTCTACTAGACCGCTCATGCAATCGTATTTAGGTAATGACTATTTCCCTTCGCACAGCTCATTGAGACTGATATCAATAGACAGGTCAGCAATTCCTTAAGATCAGTATTACACAACGAGGATTCGGTTTGCTAATAATACTACAGTGACTGCCCGGTGGTTCATCGACCTTTGTCATATGAAAGGAATTTACATTGACTCTATAGGGATCAAGACAGTCTTCCCAAGGAGACTCAACTAGGTCAACTTTCGGCATCATACCGTACAAAAACAGGGCTGCCCCACCGAAATCATCCAATGAATGCATTATGCATGTTGGTCAAGGTTGTAGCCAAGGTATAGTCACATGATGAATCCCATAAAATGCGCGTATATACCCCTCACCAACTTGCGTTCCATCAGTTATTCTTAAAACTACTCTACAGACTTCAGCTTGACTTCTTCTCATCGGCTAACCTCGCTGCACCTAACAATGGCCATTTGTAGCAACTGTGTGAGTGCGATAAGTCGCCTATATCCCAAGGAAGGTGAACTCGAGCCCAAACGCATGACCTCGCAGATTTACCCTCCTTATGATATTTATAATAGTAACGCCTGTTGGATATGTGACAAGCACGCTCACTTCTTGAAGGACTACTATTTTGGTATTTATCAGGAGTGGCTGCAAAACCCGCTGAAAGTCATATATATCTGCGAGTTTGGCTCGATGGTGAAGGATCCAAAAATTGATGATGGTGATGGTAAAATCGAAGAGCATCTACCAGCCGATAGCCGCGGTCGTCGGAACTTTGATCTGCATCAAGTCTTCCTGTGGCGTAACATTAAGGCAGAGGCAGGAGGTTGTCAGATTGAACTTCATTTTCATAAATCTGGTGGTAGGGTTTTGGATCGATTATCGCCTTGAATTGTCACAACTAATCTACGAGTAGATATTCCGGAGGAAGCACCATACTCACGACATCGAGGACTAGCTTCAATCAACTATCGGCAGATTCGAGAATGGCTCCACGAGTGCAAAATGAACCATACTGCTTGTATTACTTCGTCCAATAACGCTTGGTATCCAACAAGACTCTTAGATCTGGGTCATGGTCGAACGATAACGAAACTCATCGTCACTCAACATGAGGAGCTGACAGGACCTTACATGACACTTAGCCATCGCTGGGGAACCTTTCCATACGAAAAGCTTACCACACAGTCGGAACACCGTTTCAAGTGCTCCATCGATCTTCAGAGTCTACCACGACTATTTCAACAAGCAATCGAAGTCGTCCGTCAGCTTCAGGTTCGCTACCTCTGGATCGACTCACTTTGCATTAAGCAAGACAAAGAGTGTGGAGACTGGGATGTAGAGGCTCTGAAGATGGGTCAGGTATACGCCAACTCATACTTGAACTTATCCGCATCGTACTCAGCCGATGCTGAGGAAATAGACCCAGAGATATTTTACCCTGAATCATGGGCCCATGCCCGGCCTTATAGAGCTACGCTAGAGGGCATAGGACCACTACAGCGGGACATGATCGTAGATGGAGATATTTGGAAGGACGAAGTACTTGACTCGCCTTTGATGGAACGAGGTTGGGTGTTCCAAGAGCGTCTTTTAGCCCCAAAGGTTCTTCATTTTGGTATGCGGCAGCTAGCTTGGGAGTGTAACGGTCTTAGTGCACTTGAAATGTTCCCTCGCGGCTTGCCAAGAGGACTCGAGGTTCTCTCCAAGCAGCAGGTCTATCTATCTACAATGGTACCAAAGCAAAATACCACACAAGCCAACTTTCGAGAATGTTGGCAGCAGCTTATTGCGCAATATTCAGCATGCAAACTTACCTTCCATACAGATAAGTTAGTGGCTTTTGCCGGCATTGCTAAGATTATTGAGGCGAGGCGAGGCGATATGTATATCGCTGGTACGTGGAAGAGTATTATTAAAGAGGGCCTTGGCTGGTATCGGACTCTATTCAGACATGGGCTGACCCCTGCCAGTCAAACACGCGCCCGCGCACCGAGTTGGTCTTGGCTGTCATTAGATGAGGAAATTGGCTTCTATTTAGAAACGTCAGGGAACAATTCTCTAAGCTATTTCTGTTCTGTCCTACAGACGCCAGAGCCCGACCACGCAGGAAGCTCGGTTTTAACTGCGCACGGCAGTCTCCGTATAGAAGGCCTGATGCTACCGGTAGGGTCTATTGAATGGTCAGGAAATAACATTAGCTGTTTTCAGGTGGCTAGCTTCCGTTTCGAACAAGGCCCTGGACCAGACACTACACATCTCGATTTCGATGACTCAAGACCAGAGGTTGAGGGGATTTGCAGCCAGCTCAAGCCTTTGTTCGTGCCGCTTTGTGCAAGCCAATCAGTCGTCGTTGGCGTCATAATCGTCAAGCCTCATGGGACGGGAAATTATCATCGCATCGGTGCAGCCCAGATCCAATTTGCAAAGATACCTCACAAAAGTCAGGGCCCTCATTTGGATGGTTGGATTCCTCATGATGAATCTCGGTATTTTTTTCATGTGGTCGGTGTAATGTTACTCCACCATATCTCTCAGCAGTGGAAGGGGGGAAAGCACAGTGTTTTCAGTCTTGACTAATTATTCCTGCTAATACATTAAGCAATTCTGACTTCCATAATTAGTCAGGTCTAAGGAGGCAAATTATAACAGAGCCACATCTTGAGTAATAGTACTTTATGATGATTTAATAAAAGGCTAATCTTATTGACTAAAAGACTTGCAAATCGATAACGAACTTACGGGCTTAAGTTGCAGAGGTAACTATAATAATAGCATCCGTGGGGTTTATTGAGATATCTGCAGTGTGATTGTCTACAGCAGCGCCTCTGCCATCTTGTCTTGTTATATCGAGATCAATAGCTTACATTGAATCGATCAAGCCCTTCTATCATTCCTTGAATATTGTTTTGACTCAGGCTTTGACTACCCTTAACGACTATCGCAGCCCTAATTGCATTTTCGCAACGACACTAATCGTGGGTTGGTGCTGACAGCCTTGTCTCGTAGACGTGATACCCACTCGCTGATGCAAACTGAAGCGTGCCCTCAAGATGCAGCAGCCAAGGATTAGAATAGCACTTTAACTCAGGACTCTCGTTATTGACCTGAGACACTCGCATGATGATATACGCGTTGTTTGGATCATTAGCGTAGCTTCGCATCTTGACAATGGTTAGTAAACTCACAGCATCGTTTAGAAGGGGCCGCCTTTTACCATGTTGACTTGGTTCTGGCTGACGAAGAACGGTTCTTTACCATCCATAGTTGTAGTTTTCACCTCGACATGATAAGTGGTACTTCTTGACCATTCTGGATTCAGTTCTACACCGGCCACCTGAAGAAATGCTCTCATGTCACCCGAACGATCGAGATAGGTGAAATCTGCGAATTGGCCTTCTGGTAATGTGAAGGGTTGGTAGCCATTCTCAACCCGCAACTTACTAGTCCAGTTTTCGAAAGACCAGTCGTCGATATACCGACCAAATAGTGTGTGAACCTAAGATTCAAAGTCAGAGTTGAGGAGAAACCCAGAATCCAGGTGACATACAAAGAGCTCTCCCAGAGACCCGATTTCTCTTGTTCTTACTTGCTGAGCAGTTGAAAGAGCAGTCAACTCGGGAGGGGCTTCATGTCTCTCCCTAGATAGGGCAGTTGAGCATGGAGGATCGTCTTGTATTGAAAATACGGATAGAGTCGATAATGGGTTTACCATAGCGAGTAGTGATTTCTGCAATCTTTCCCGTTTCGCTCTTTCTTGGGGTGAACTTAGTTGTTTGAATCGTTTAGATATGCGAAAGTTCTGAGCGCTTGCTGTAACTTTTTGCGATCTCGACGCAAGTGAAGGAACCAAATCTCGTAGAGAGTACTGAGTCGGGGGGCTGGGATAATTAGATTGTCTCTGGACATGTCCGCCCTCTTGTTCCCCCAGTTCCTCTAGATCATCCAGATCCATTTCATCTGGCGTACGTTCATCGGCAGGTTTATGGCGATGAATGTCATCATCTGGCGGGAATCGGTTATTGCTCAGCATGATGCTTGCCAAGGCCTCGACAGGAGCGCGTAATAAATGATTCAGAAGGTTGTTGTCCTCAGAGACGATGTCGTAGCGGCGGCAAAAGAAATCTGCAAGTGTAAATATGGCCTGCTCGCGGTGTTCTTCAGGTGTAGCCATGAGAAAGTACAACTCGGTAAAGTCTGCCTTCTCATCAAATGTAACCAATGTATCGTGTCTCTCAACCTTGATCGAATGGAGACGGCTGACCTTCACGATGGAGTCGATGCCCCACACGCGGACTGGTGGCACTCGAGGAGGTCCAGTGGTGACCGACGTATTCAAGCTGTAGGATGTGAGATAAAAATTCGCCAAAGAAAGATGGAATACGTACCAGGAGATATATCTAACACGGGTTTGAAGTTCCGCTTCCCTGGATAGATCCCGCCTTTTATCTCCTCGTGGTTCTATAGCTACATCGACTGCTTCTGAGAGAAACAGTCGCTGGCAATTGAGCTTTGTCCACAGAAACTTGAGCTTTTCTATGGACCGTACGGAGAATGCGAGGAGGTTGACTCTATTTCGGAAGTCCATCTCTAAAGTCATTTTGTCTGGAATATACCAATCGTCATCCTGCAAAGCTCGAAGAACAACAGCCTGGGGTTCTTTCCCAGCCTCCGAAACAGGAAAGACTCTGGCATGTCTGATCCGCAAAAAGTGATGCGCTGTGAACTCGGTTTCTTGTGAGAGGTAACGTTCCAGAATAAGCAGCAACTCCTCACAGCGCTGAGCAACATCCTCATTACTGCCTTCCTGGACGGTGCAGAGTTCATCTGCCACGTGCTTGATGCTGGCGGATTGAATACCGAGGCAATAGAAAAATAATGTCTGACAGTCTGCGTAGCGTGTAATTAGTTTGGTAACATGCTTCAACACTGGCGGTGCGTTCCACACGCAGAGGTCCTGTCTGACCCAGGCTGGCTGGGGGCGGGCTTTGAACACTAGAGGCTTCGAGGAAAATGCCTGTCTGCGTTTATATGTCAGTACATTGATTCAAATTCTGACAGGTCAGTTTGCTCTTACGAGATGAGATTGTGTTCCTGTTTAGAGCTCCTGTTCAGCACACGATAGCATTCGTGAACCGCATCCTTGTCGACCGAATCAGCAGGTAGGTCTGCTAACAATTCCAGTTCTCTTAACATTGCGACTGTATTTGGCCGAGTAAGAATTCCAAACTTGGACAGAAATACCCATCTCTCTGGTTCTCTCAGGTCTGCAAAGTCAAGATGTGGACATAGTCGCAGCATTTCCTTGGTCGGTATTGCTAACTCAGCGAGTGGACGACGGTTCCCGTCACGGCAGTTGACAAGGAGCTCTGGGACTGCCTGCATGAGCCTTGGGCTAGGAGTGCCATATTTGCATGCCTGCTCAAGAACTGCCAATAGATCTGTCACGTCTGTATCTCTGAGAAATACCCACTCAGGAGTAGTGTAGTGGTCACGGAGGAGGATTGGAACTGTCGAGATGCTTGATGATTTCAACAACCATTCCAGAAAGACCTTCTGAGTGATCAAGTCATCGCCTCTCATGCATTCCATGTAGAGCTCATCCAATACATAGAATGGGTTTTTAGGCGTATCTTTGTACTTCTCGATGAGGCTGGGTTGTGATTTGTGGTCGATGATGTAGATCTGGTCCTTGCGACGAGAGTAGTGTCCTTGGTTAACGACCGAAAAGTACATGTCCGAAGCCCTGTCACTGCCAAACTCGTCTCTTTTTCGGAAAATATATACTGCGTCCTTGACCAAGTCCTCGGGAGCACGTTGCTCGATGCTCGACGGGGTACCGGCATGCAAATCCAGAATCAAGGTGCAGACTTGCCTAGCATTATAGACAGGAATACCCAAAAAGTCGTGAAATCGACGTCTCTCTGGGTCTTGAGACGCATTCCTCTCAATAATAGAAATGTTGATACCGCTAGGAACATACTCATCCCCAGTTCCCATCGCTTGATAGAGGCGCGCCCTTCTTCCACTTGTCCATGAGCCATCCCGGAGGGGGATGATAGGAAGGCTCAAAAGTTGGTCTTTTAGGTTTGTGTGACCACAGAAGAGAGAGACAACTTTTCTATGCCATTCTGGTGTTTTAGTAGCAAGTACTGAGACACCGACTTCCCGAACCCAAGAGCAAAAGTCGTTGCACAAATCCTGGATGCTAGTGGTCTGGAGCCCAAGTGGTGATAGCTCTTCGATCACATCATCATATTGAAATGATAAGTGTGTTTTGCGTAGCGACGGGCTGTCAAATAGCGCGTGCCCTTCATGCCGAAAGTCATGGGGTACAAAGCGTAGCTCCGTGGGTCTTCTATGGCACTCAGATAGATCGCATGATTCCAAAATGGGCTCGTATCGCAGATCATGCGATATATCCTGATGCAACCGGTTCCAGAAATTATGTGAAGCGCGATGATGCTTTGTGTATTTGGGCCACAAGTATCGAAGTCCTGGGCCCGGTCCACTGGCTGGCACACTTGCAAACCGTTTCACTGCCAGTAAGAATGCCCTGCGAATTGCTTTATGAAGTGTCTCGTTCCATTGACAATCATAATCAAGACCTTCCCGACTAGCAACAAGAAGAAAGTCCGCATGAATGAGGAACTAATTGAAACAAAGTCAGCTTATTTCTTGGTCAAACTGGGATCTCCGGGGCTAACCTTGAAGCCAAAGTCGTCAACTGGGAGAAAAGCGAAAGCTTTCTGTTTGCCAATTTTCGGTCTTTCAGATCCATCGATAGGAAAACCAAGTGTAATTTCGGTTGTTTGAACACCCTTTCTCTTTTCATTACCGGGCATTTGATCGCAGCTAGAACGGACGACTATAAAATCAGTCTTGGAACTACTGCATCCAACTCCTTGGCTGGTTGCTATCGTAACTATCTCCCCTAGGGTGGCGTTCGACATGTCATATTGAACCTGGAATACCCTTTGACCATCATCTGTCTGTATCCGCAGGCAACGAAGCCTTCTGAGAAATATGAGAAGGTGAGGCTCAATAACTCTCAGATCACCTCGAATTCTTTGGTGTGTTTGTTTGTCCTTGAGTAGTAGAAGGAACTGGGTATGATTTGAGAGGCGGTGTTCCACTGGGAAAGGCGATGCAATTGGTAGGACCATGCCCAGAGATTCGCGCCGATCGAATCGAAATTCGTAGTAGCCGCTGGCAATCTTTACAACATCTGCTGCTTTGAAAACCGACTTGAATCCGATACCTTTCTCTCCTATGTACCTTCGCTGTCTATGGCTGATAGCCGTCTTAGTACTGGCCCCTATACCTGCTAGGGCGTCGATTTGTTCGAAAGTGAATCCAGCTTCATTGCAATCGATGCGTAATGTTGCAGATTCTACCCCTGACAAAGTCAAAGTGAGGCTGGGCGTAACTTCGGGTGGGTATATGTTGTCGTCTGCATTTTGGATAAGTTCAAGTATAAAATGGGTCGGCGTTTGGTATAGATCATGCGACACACTGTCAAGGAGTCAGTACTGCATGTGTTTAATTGAGCAAGGTCAATACATGTCAAGGCTTTGTTGGAGCGTCGATATCAACCACGGAGTCTTTTGGTTAGCCCCATGAAAGCCTCTTTTCATTCTGAGGCCTTCAAGATGAGATTCAGCCTCCAATTTGGATCTTGCGATGCCGCTCATGTTGGCAAAGAGGATGCAGGGAAATTTGTATGTTTAGGCAAGAAAAGGTTTACATCCTAAATATTTGATAATATCGAGTGACTGATTCCCTTTTATTACTTCAAAGTGGCCTCGCACAGACGACACCACACGAAGTTCTGTCACAGCACCTGAAACCAATTGCTAAAGCGCTTAGGTAGCCATTCACAGCAATACACGAACGCTTGTCACAACATGCTCCGCCACGGCGTTGGCCTGATTACGCGACCTTGCGGCGCTAAGATATCGAAACATTATGCATCCTATTGGTCAGGATAACCTGCCATTTACATTTACTCAGAGTTTCATAAGTCAATGAGGATCAATAATGCAATATAAATAATGTAAAAATAGAAACAATTGAACTTTAATTAATAAGGTAAATATTAGCTGAAGTATAGGAACATTATATCGGAGTAGGAGTCTCTTACTGCTGAAGGAGGCTATTGGCAATACTTGTGAGGCGACAGCTCAGGCGATTCAAGTCAAGGAACCTTGGCCTACCAGTGAAGTCATATCGACACTTAAACCTCTAGAGGTATATGATGTCAAGGCCACCCAAGCCGCAGCGAATGTTCCTCCCTGTAATAATTCTCGTGTCGCGCCAAACAACGATATGGGCAGAGCAGCCAGAGCAGCAACTGGCTTATGACTCCCATAGAACGCGGTACTATCGAAATATTCAAGTCCGCAGTGGATTTGGGAAAGAAAAACCTCCTTATAGCTGTTGCTCTCGGCGTTGCTGCAGTCGGTGCAGCAGTGTATTCCATGGGAAGCTATCAGGACACCTTGGTTCTCCTCATTTTGATCGAGAAATGCCTATTACTTACTCCTTATTCTCACAGAGTTGCAAGCACTCCGGTGATTCCTAACCCTCTTCTCAAGACTTAGCTACTCCCTCTAGCTTGCAGTTAAGACCTCATGCGAGGGAATCTGGTGAGCCAGATGGGCCAGCTGCAATATCAGTATCCTATAACGCCATATCACTTAGACGATTTTCTCTTCTATGAAATGCCTCTAGCGCAACAATCTTCAATAAAGCGGCATGACTTATAAATAAGCGGTAACGAGAATGTAGATATTAATATAATGCCAATGCCGCAATGCTCTAGGCTGCTGCAGTCTGAGTCTAAATACTTATCATTATTATTTAAGCTAACTCTCTAGCCAGAGCTTTCTGCGAAAGTAATATAATATGCAGGTTATTAAGTTTAGGGATCTTATCCTTTTTAATTATAAGCCTAGTAAGCTTAAGGATCTTCTTAATGCTATTAACCTTTTATAGAGGGTAAGGGTATTGTCTTAACTTTATCTTAAGATATATTAACTACTATGTGAAGATCCTTAAAGGACTTTAAATAGGCTGCTAGGGGGGGTAATTACTTCTCTGCAGACTAAAATACTATTAGATATACGCCGTCTCTAGAAGATATTAGTAGAGTTCTCGTAGCAATAGTAGAGCGGAGTTTAACCTCCTCCCCTAAAGTAAACTAGAATATGGAAGTCTATCAGCCTCTATTATTACTGGCCTCCGGCTCCCAGATCAAGCTCCATACACGCACTTAGTCAACTTCATGAGCACGTGAGTTCTCCCCTTGAAGTCTCAGTACTTATTCATCCGCTGACAAAGTCACAGCACGCAAGCTTATCTCATACCAGATTATACTAACTCCTCTATCTCTAAAAAAGAAAACGACATGAGCAGTTATATAGAACCGAGGAACGGGTTAGAATTGTTAAGACAAGAGTTAGTCCAAGACGCTATTTCTCGCTGTCGAAGAGATCTCCCTAAATCCGTCTTCAATTTTACCTACGCCGCAAGATCGAAAGATAATGGTCTGGCAATGCATTGGCATTGGAAATGCGCAGAGCACAAAGGGGATATATCAGTTTGTGTGCATATTACATCTGCTGAGGCAATAGGTCAAGTTGACTTACTGGCCGCTTGTTTGGGAGACGGTTCGTGCAGGATGGCTCACGCAATATATGGATGATATCGCCCAGTAAATACAATATACAGTAGAGGCATGAACCTGCACCTCAGTGAATTTGACGTCATGGCAGTTATTACTAACGGCAGCTTGTCATATTCACCACAGCCAAAGTGAGAGCCCTAGTCGTGATGCGGTAAGACCAGAGGCCCACTGTAGCCGTCCGTATAAGTCTGCGCGGTTGTATGCTGCAAGTTTCCTAATCCTGTGCGACGACTTGTGAGTATCAGTGAATCCGGAGTTCTAATGAAAGTTGCCGCCATACTAGATCCCTACGTATTACACCCCGCTCAAGAGACAGCGGTGGTTCTTCTTATACTGCTGGAAACTCAATATAATCTACTAGTTGAGGTTGCCGTGCGATTATTCTTGACTCCAATGTCGCTCAAGGGAAGCAATGACAATCACTAAATCTTTTGTTAAGTCCGTGTGCTACTTCAATCGCTATCTACAACATGGGGCCGTTTGTAGGCGATACCCTGTTACCCGCCCGGCAGGCTCCTCTCTGATGCTTTGCCAATCATCCGTCTCACTTGCATCGTCCTTACCATCGCCACTACCCTCGAGTTGACTGTCTCCATCGCCCAATATCACTTGGGGTAAGGTTGAGCCATCTCCTCGCCTGTCAGACTAGCTGCCAGTGTTGTCATGACTTCAACCATCTCTGCACATTCACATGACATGGGCATAGTTGACAGGGCAAGCACGGTATGGCTGTCGGTGTCATCATCACGCAATGTTTTGTATTATTTTATTACTTAGCTTTAAGTATACTTTTAGATATTTGACCTTTATTTACTAATCTTATATAATCTTATATATAATTATTTATTTACCTTATCTTTTATTACTATTAAAGTCATGTTATATCAATGCCAATCATTTGTATCAAGGGATGCGAGGTGGAACCCAGCAAAGGCCAGAAGCTTATGTAGCAAATATGGATGTGACAAAGCGGCATGCGCAAGCAGTAAATCCATCAATCAATTCATAACATGATGAAATTAATCTGTCTGACTTCTAGGTAATAGCCGCCTTCTCTGCCTCAGCTTCTGCAAACCATCCAATCGCTGTGCCTGCCTGCCCATACGCATGCCAACAATATTTAGGGCACAGTGGCAATCTTGTCCCAATGCTGGCCCCCGCTGGACAAGCAAACGCCTGGGTTCTGCGGAATCTCAGAAACTTGTTCACGGCATGAAAACCCCTGCTGACAAGCATAGAAGTGCTGCGCATTACCTCCCCCGATCCACCTGATGCCCTGAAAGATCACACCGCTGCTGAGAGGCGCTGTTTCCTGGAACTTCTTACAGGGATCCCAGATAACCATGAGAGGGTTGAAGATGGCGTTCTGGCAACCAGGGTCTGAGTATAGCTCCCAGTTTGTGTACCGCAAATTCTCTTGGCATCCTTTTAGGACGTGACCCACGGTTTTGGCGGTATCTGTGGCGACTGCCGTGGCTGTGGATGCCTCGGCGGTGTTTGCTGACTCGGTGAATGGCAAGGTCGTGGGGGAAACATCGAGAGACGATCCTGGAGCTGCGATAGCCGCTGGTGCCGACAGGAGCAAAAGTCCGAGGCTCCAAAGAGAAAGCATTGCTGGTGATATGACTTGAGATATGTGTTTGGGATAGGTGTGTTGTTAAAGAGGAATTAATGGAATTGATCTTGAGGGGGTCTGTGTGCTTTTAAATTCGTTTACAAATTCACATCAATTTATCATATACATCATTGACGGAAGCAAACACTAATACTTTCTACTTGCCCGCGAATCCGGATCCCGGTATCTCCACTTCTTATCGGAGAGATTACTCAGGACCGCGCACACTTACTAAGTAAAAATTCAATCAGATATGGCATGATCCACTATGTTAAGCAATAAGAGATGGAATTATTACATGCAGTGGAACACGAGCTGCGCGAGCACGAGAATGCAATAGGACTTTTGCCACTCATTAAACGCCGCTTATTCCAGAGGGAGATCAGCACTTAGATTTTCCAAACCACAGCAGGAACTCCTGGTCTCGTATAGCTTAACTGGGTACCTGTATGCCTGGATACCTTGAAAATACTTTTCTTTTTGTCTCAGATCTATTTTATTGTTGTATTACGGGGGCTAGACTGAACGACCTCAAGGGCCGTCGGAGAATAGAGGCTATTGACCATCCCGTGATAAATAGCACAGTGATACTTGAGAACCGATCGCGGCCCTGCCGCTCTTCTTATCCTACCATCGATTCATTCACTCCCAGCCCAACTCATCCATCGCTAAATGGCCCCTCTTCAGAAGGCGGCTTTGCCATTGTTGCCTACTGTGACTTACTGGCAACATACGCTGCGTCAAGCAACAGCTACTCAAGCTTTCCGCAAATAGAAGCGGCGCCGCTGAGCATTTTAAGTTTCCCAGCTGCAGTGACTAAAAGATGTACAAAGGTAGAAATATCCTCGGATTCGCACTATATTGTGACTTTGAATGGTGGTATTGTCGAGGGGATAATCAAACTTGGCAATTTTGCGCCTTACCACTACCTATATGGCTTGGTCGAGATTGTCAGCGACTTTGTCATTGTCCCCGGTGTCGGCTTGTCCAATCCTGTGCCCGACGCAAAGCCCTCGCATCTACAGGAAGATGCAAGCCTAGAACCTTATAGCTGCTTTTACAAGGTGATTCTCCGTTACTGCTATGGTTGATGGAGTAACTGAGTATTGCTTAAAGCTGGCGTCTCTTCTTCCAGCAATGGAGTCGAGACATTTATCCAACCAAACAAGGGATCGATTGGTAGACCATACTCAAAATCGGCCATGCGAAACATATCAGATCCCGTATTGGACCATTCAGTAACCGAAAACGTGCTCTGAATTATGTCCAAGTCAAATGACATACCACTTTGCCTAAGAGAGTGCGCTTCTTCTGCAGGAAAGTCAAAATCATATATCCAAATACGAGGGAGGATTGGACCTACCGGTGACCAAGTTCAATTGCTTGGCCTCAATTAAGCGTCTGATGCTGTTTGCTGGTTTTGCAACACCAGGATTTGCCGTGCATAGTTCATCCAGGCACTCCAAGCTGGACTTGAGCATCGATAAATGGTCACCTGCTTGGCTCTGAGAAGCTGCATTACGGACGTGAATTGTGCACGCCACATACACCGTGTACGCGAGCACATAAGGAGCCCCATTGAGCCCATAGGTTGACTTGTAGACTGAGGCTATATTGGTGATGCATCTGGCTGCAACAGTGCATTGCTCCCATGACCGTCCCGACGTGGCAGTGGATCGAAGATGATCATCTGAGATGAATGGTCGATGGACAAGAATGATAAGAGAGTGATAGACGTTGTGAAGAACCATGATGTTGGGTGTTTGAACCGCAGTGCTCGTTGACAACCATGGTTGGAAATCTAGCTCTAACGGTAGCTTGTCTCGCCAATGCTGCAAGGCCTGCTCAATCTTTTGTAGATCGGTTTGAGCATTTGAGAACGTGGCCCCGACCACATAGAAGCGATTGATAATTGTCGTCATTATCTTGGAGAGGAGACATAATTGCTGAAAAGTCGAAACGGAATGTCTCGGAATTGCATCGCCCATGTTTTCATCAAGCCTGGATGTGGACGAGCCTGTAGCCAAGGCTGAAGGATAAAATGGCTCCATTTCCTCGTACAAGTCAAGGAATTCGCGAGATACTTGTGAGTCACGTAGATTGATTGCAACTGGACGACCCATATAGAGACTCTGGAGCTTATCGCAGACAAAAGCGCCCCAGAAAACCCGTCGCCGGATCTCAATCTCTTCAGGATCTTCTATAGTCTGCCTGGGATCGAGATGAAGACCAAGATCATAAACCATTCGTAGGGCGTATCCTGTATATAGCCAGCCTTTGGACGTCTCTCCGCGAGCATTATACGTCGAGCCCAGAAGGACAAGTCCCACAATTGTTGATATATGCGGTCTAGTGAGGAGACTTTCGCTGCTAAGAAGCTCATCACAGCGCTTGAAGAAACGACGGCCAACGCTGGATGGATCATCTGGGTCGTCCCTAACGTCAGATCGCGGAGAGAACTTGCTAGAGCATGCGAATATGGCATTGAGCATGAAAGTAGAGCAGTATGGGCCGGAACACTCCAAGTCTCGCATGACAGCTGGCCGATATGTCAGCAGAAAAGTGTGATGCTGACGAGCCCAGTGCAAGTTTAGCAGATGAAGTGCAAGTTCTGTTGGCTCTCCAGCAATTGTTGCGTGTCTTGTAAGTCTGTGCTCGAGGTGCCGTTGCAAGGCGGCATTGGCTATTAATTCATTCTTGACATGCTCTGTTGTTGTAGATTGGCGGGATGATGGGGTTCCTTTATCGTTCCTTGCAGGATTGTGGAGAGCAGACGATGGACCGAAGCTGTTTGTTGTGCCAGCATCATCGACGGATATAAAGTTTGCAATATTTAGCTCATCATCTGATGATACTATTGGTGTAGTGGCCTTTCTATCAGTAGGTTGACTTGTGACCTTTCGTGATGAAGCCTCTCCTGCAGGGTCAGCCTCAGTTGACGCTAGCAAGTTGACAGCCCCATCTTCATCAACAGCTGCATTAAGTAATTTCTCCCGCTCCTCCGGACCACTTCTCTTGAGAGTAAACAGGAACACTTTGAAAGTTGCCAGGTCTCGTTGCAATTTACCGATCTGCGAAAACGTAGGTCTGCCACTTATTAGACTACTCAACACGATGCAGCATGACGTACCTTTTTCGTGGAGTTTCTCTCCGATAGATACATTCGCGTTTTTGACTGACACAGTTTCCACATCCAGGCTTTGCAGCGTCACAACGGATCTTCTTGGTCCGACAGGCCGTACAGGCTTTTGCTAACGACTTGGGTTGTCGTTGACTGGATCCATCGTCTGCGACCATTATCACGTCATTGTCCCGAGAAGACATTATGCAAGGTTTCGAGAAATAGTGGAGCGAAAATGGTACGATTGATATGATGAGATTGTTGCAGAAGGGCCCATCATGGACGCAGAGTTGCACAATTGCTTCAAGCAGCACCTGAAGTTCGTAGGCCGGAGAAGAAAGCTCCGAGTGGAATGTGGAGTCTTGTCTTTACCGAAGTAACCGAGCCATCACTCGGAGAATCAGTCTCCGCGGTGCCATTTTGCTTCTCCACTACCAGCCACATGCTGGAGGAATGGGGCCAATTGCATGCAGCTGCAAAGTGGCTTGGTAGTCAATTCGGAGGATGAGTCCCCGTGTCTTGAGTGGCGTAATCACGACAACACCATTCTCTTAACGCATTGAAATAATTATATAAACTCTTCAAAACAGCGAATTCCACGATCTTTCATCTTTACAACTACAAACCATCTTCTAGATATCATATTCGTCTCGATTTTCTTCTCTAGTCATCCCCCTCACCGTTACCATGGCTCTTCCAAAACAAGTCGATGTCCTAGTTGTAGGCAGTGGCAACGCTGGTTTTGCAGCAGCTCTCTCAGCAGCTCAGAACGGCGCAGAAAGTGTCCTGCTTATCGACAAGTGTCCCGAGAACTGGGTCGGTGGAAATTCTTATTTCACCGCTGGCGCGTATCGAATTGCCCATGGCGGACTTCAAGATATCCTGCCAATCGTCAACAACGTCTCCCGGCAACAAGCCGAGAAGATCGATCTTGCTCCTTATACCGAGAAAGACTTTCAAAACGATATGGACAGAGTCTGCATGGGACGCTCAGACCCTGAACTATCAAAGAGCCTCATTCAGAACTCCAATGCTACTATCAAGTGGCTAGCTGCGAATGGAATACGATTCCAACTTTCCTTCAATAGGCAAGCATATGAGGTTGATGGGAGAATTAAGTTCTGGGGTGGTATGTGTATCAAGACCGAGGATGGAGGCAAGGGTCTCATTCAAGACTATCTTGCTGCCATCAAGAAGCACAATGTCCAAGTTTCGTGGTCAACTGGCCTCGCGGGATTGAAGAAGCACTCTTTCAATGATGGCTACGAAGTTGAAGTCTCTCTTAATGGCGTCAAGCGTACATTGACCGCTGGTGCTGTAATCCTAGCTGCCGGCGGTTTCGAGTCAAATCCTCAGATGCGAAGTCAATTCCTTGGACCTGGCTGGGACTTGGCCATGGTTCGAGGGACACCTTACAATACTGGCGATGTTTTGGGACTGGCTATACAACAACTTGGCGCGCAGGCTGTGGGTAACTGGTCTGGTTGCCACTCTGTCGCCTGGGACGCCAATGCTGACCCAAACACGGGTGACCGAGAAGCTTCCAACGAGTACACCAAGTCAGGATACCCTCTTGGCCTCATGCTCAACGTTGATGGCGCGAGATTCGTTGATGAAGGTGTTGATCTTCGAAACTACACCTATGCCAAGTTTGGCCGAGCTATTCTTCAACAACCCGAGCATCTGGCTTTCCAGGTCTGGGACTCCAGAACAAGCGGTTGGCTACGGTCAGAAGAGTACCGCGAGGAACGTGTTGAGCGCATTACTGCCAATACTCTGGAGGAGCTGGCCGACAAGTGCGCAGAACGCGGTCTTCGAAACAAGGCTGCCTTTATTGACACAGTTCATGAGTACAACGAAGCAGTCTATGCTCACCGCCAAGAGAACCCTAATGTCAAGTGGGATCCAGCCATCAGAGATGGACTATCAACACAGTCTTCCACGAAGAAGCTTGATTTGGCCAAGTCCAACTGGGCTCTGCCTTTGGACAAGGGGCCTTATGTAGCAGTCAAGGTCACATGCGGCGTCACCTTCACATTTGGCGGTGTCAAGGTTGATCCTCAAACTGCTCACTTGATCCATGGCCCAACTGGTAGTCCAGTGCCAAATATCTATGTTGCGGGGGAGATGGTGGGGGGCCTGTTCTACTCGAACTACCCTGGTGGAAGCGGCCTGACTTCAGGTGCTGTTTTTGGAGCCAAGGCTGGAAAAGAGGCTGCGAAATCTGTTACGGGCGGCCGATCAATCTCAAGCCGGCTATAGACCAGTTTGTGAACTGTGGATTCTGTTAGAAGAAGCCTAAGAGTTTTATGTATTTTTGTGGTATCTTATCAGTTTAAATAAAACCTGGATTACCTGTCTCTCGTAGCAATGCATCAATAATATTGAAGCTTGTGAAGGACAGCTATCTGCACTGAAGTGAATCTTTTACTGACGTCCAAGAGACCTTATCTTGGCCAAGGTGAGAGCCTGATGTATGTCTCCCTACACAATCAGAAAGCTTACTTCAGGACTTCTCAGAATCTCCAGCCAGTTCAGCCCGTTGGGAGCTTTGGCTCGTTCTCTCCAGATAAGCTCAAGTGTTTCCATTGCGGTATACAGGAAACCCCACGGAAACAGACGTGACTGTCTTCTCATCCTATCCATTATCCACGCTTGCTGATCGTGATCACTCGTTTGAGCTCCAGCAATAAAAGTTGGCCAAAACGACGTCTTGAAGTTGGGATCCTCATCAGTGATATGATGGAGATGGAAGATGAGCCCGTGCTCGAGATCCTGCTCGGTATCTTCTGGCAGAAAGCTCCTCACGGAAGGGATGGCATACATGATGTACAGACAGCATGCCATCTGATGTGTATATCCTGTGTGAATCCGGCTTGGGATATCTGTGACCTGACGACCAAGAGGGACTTGCTGGATATCCCGAGACCACGTTTCGACATTGAACGCCATGGCTTGCATGAATAGTTCGTACCCTTTCGCGGCCGCGCCCTCCATATCATCATGATTGGCTGTATGCCTTTGCAAGATCATTGCAGTAGACCACAGAATCTGCAAGACTTCAGCAGGACAGCAGATAAAGCTGTTCCGGGCGGCATAATGGATTGCAGATGATGCGATTGTTGTGTTGAGCGCCAGAGAGGACTGCGGAATCTGGTCCATGAAGGTCAATGCAAATACATAAAAGCTGACACATCGGTTAACGTCCCGCCGTCTCGAGGAACAAGAACAACGCTTACATGTAGCAGTCCGAGATAACAAAGTCCTTGAGCATCTCACCCACGCTCGTAGCCGGCTGGGCATAACTTAGCAGCCAGCCGATTCCATCGAGATGTGCCTTGGAGCCATGTTTCCCCGAATCGATCATATCGGCGGTTACAAGAAGCATAGCAGCTGTCAATACCATGTCGCGTCCATGGGTGTCCAGGTCCTGGAAAGCCATGCGTAGAAGGTAAAGCGCCTTTTGTTTAGCCGCCAATGCATCAAGCATAGCCCGTCGAGATGGTTCCCAGTTGTTATTGACGTGGTTTAGTGTCACCGGTCTCTTTTCGGTGTCTGGTCTTAGAACATTGGACATATGTAGAGCTGCGGCAGTGATCATCGTGTATTGCAGGACGGGGCTGCAGAATCCCATGGGTAATAATCTTGGGAACGGATTGTGGCCCGGTAGGTCTATTGCTACAAGCTGAGGACAAAGACCATCCGCAACTGGTTGTTCATAGTCAGTAAAGAGCATAGGAAGACCAACAGGGGACGACAAACAATACGATAAATAATAATGATCGCTTGAGCTCATGTCGCTAAACAAAGGGTCAGTCAAGTTGCCGTAAAGTTGTATACTATCATCAAGATCCAGATCTAGACAATGATTGCTGCTTATGCATTGATTGGCAGTGTTTATAGTCAGCCTGCTTGCATCTGCGTCTGTCTGGCTTGATGATGAATGGTCTGGGTTGTCGTTGTTGCAAGGCAGCTTTTTGCCAGCCAATTTGCCACGGCTTGCCACGGAATCCGTCCATCTCCATAGTGTGCCATATCCAAGACATTCTTTGCCCAATGATATGCACTTGCGACAAGAGGGAACTGATCCGTCACAGCGGAATCTTTTTCGCCGGCAGTTGTGACATCCATTTGGGTTGGTGCGTTGTGAACCCATGCAGATCTGCGCTGGACATAGATACAAGCTGGTCAGAACAACCTTGCTGTAGCTCTCCTGGTGGAACTGACTGGTGATTTGAGGTCGACTGAGCGCTAGGTATAAAGAGGAAGAGGATGGGAAATCTCCAGCTTGAAGCAGATCCATTCGTGACAGCCCCGGTTTTCCATAGTGGAGAAAAGCTTGAGCCAGTAGCATCGAACGGACGGATATAAGAATCTGGATAAGTTAAACCCGCCCCCGAACATCATCGAAACGTCATCACTACCAATTCAATTACAGATGTTCTATAATTGCCGTGATATCCTAAAAATAGAATGCGGCTTATTTTATTGAAAGATCTATTTCTTCGAGATGGTGATATCACTCTCGGAGAGGGATTTCTGGTGTCTTGGTCTCGCTTCGTTGAGATTCCCCTGATTCTGAACTTGTCACACGTCGCGCCAGTCTCAGATCTCCAGTTCAAACATTCTGAGCCCCTTCAAATTCCTTCTGAAAATCTGCAGCACTCTTCACGTGGCCCCGAGAAGGAATGATCTTATCCAAGATAACCCGGTGAAGCTCTCCATCCCCATCAGCACAAGCGTCGCTGATGACTGTTGTCGCAAATTCAGCATCTGTTGCTGTGACTGCCGTTCTCAGAACACAGCCAGAAGTGCTCAAACCGGAGAGAACAAGAGACTTGATGCCCTTCTCCTTCAGATAATCAAGTAAGCCTGGGGACTTGAGCGCCGAGATATGTCCCGGGACCCGGTGAAAGGTGAGCTCGTCTTTGTCATCAGCCCGAAGTTCAGCTGGTTCGGGCTGTTCCAGGCTCTTCATAATCTCCAAGAGCCCTTGGAAGCGATCCACGCCTTTGCAGGCCGGGAAGGGAGTGCCGTTTGCGTCGATAAGGCAGTGGACAACGGTGATGTTGTGAGTCTTGGCCCAGTTTCGGAGTTCAACTGCGACCTTCAAGGCTGGCTCAGCAGACGGACCAGCAACCTTCTCGATGAATAGGGTGTACCAATCAAGGAGAAGCAGAGCTGTTTCAGAGGACCCATAGGCGCTCGGGGACGAGGCGTCGAGTGTAGTGGTAGACATGGTGATATTAAGTGTATTGCTGAGTGCTGGGTTTAAGACAAGATTTAAGCTTGGAGTATTTGATTAACCAGCGGTAAAATATGAGTCTTATATACTGCACTGAATTATGTGAGATCAACACTTCAGGACGATCAATGGACTTAGATATGGTTAACTCGGCGATATGTGCAGTTAACCCCGTCTGGTGTTATGAGGTTATCCCCACTCGGTGCCGATTCGGCAAAGCTTTTTTATGCTTTCGCTCCACTACAGGGTATTCAATATCCAGGGACCAGTGCCATCCTGATTAAAGACTGCAGCCAAAACAAGTTAATTATCTTTTAAAGGGCTTGAAAGAGATGACACAGACATAAGTATTTTAGGGCTTGTACTAGCATTAATGTCTCCAATCCCAGTAGCCCACATAATACAATCTCATATTACAAATAAGAAGGACCCAAAAGCCTCCGCGGAAGGTTTAGAAATTATTTCATAGACATCCACTACCCGCAATAGACTATGGTATACTGGTCTTGTACTATAATGTATTAAGTCCGGCTCTGTGTCCCCAATCAGAATGCAAAGAACCATCCGGTGCTATCTCCATAGACAGCATTTGGGGATGTCCATACAGGCATACTATAGTTCGCTTGCTGTCTATCTGATCTTGAAGGTATAAGTAGCGACCTAGTTCCAGAGGTTTGCTTTTTCTTTGCCATCAATTTGACGTTTCACATAATCTTATACCCAGAGCCAACAAGAAGTGTCTCCATACAGCACAACTAGACGACATGGCCGGCTTGAAAGAAATCGCTGTGATTGGCGGCACTGGTGCACAAGGCATGCCAGTAGTACAAGGTCAGAATGCTGTGATATAAACAAGGTTTCAATGTTGTGCTGACACCCACTGGAAGCTTTATCGCAGAGTGGACGTTACCTAGTCAGGGTCTTGACTCGAAATCCAAAGTCTTCCCGCGCTGAGAAGCTCGCCGCCCTACCAAATGTATCCCTCATTCAAGGCACTCAAGAGAACCAACAGGATCTACACCGTGTCTTCAAGGGCGTGTACGGTGCTTGGGTAAATCTCGATGGTTTTACCCTAGGCGAAAAAGACGAGCTCTTCTACGGCTTCAGAGCCTACGAGATTGCGAGGTCTGAGCATGTGCAGCACTATGTTTGGGCGCACATTGAGTATGCCTTGGGCAACGCGAACTTTGACGAGAGCTACCACTGCGGACACATGGTTTCCAAGGGCAGGGTGGGCAAGTTTATTCTTGCACTTGGCCAAGAACCTATGAAGACCACGCTTTTCAGTACTGGTCCGTACATGGATATGCTCATAGATGGCATGATGACTCCTAATATCCAGCCCGATGGATCCTTTTTGTGGATTAACCCGCTCCGTATGTTACTTTCCTTATTTTCAACCTCTTCGTCTTTGAGCAGTATCTGCATTCTCGAGTGGAGGTCCGAGTGACTCAAAGTATCTGGCTAATATGCATTAATAGCAAGCGACGTGAAACTCCCCTTGATTGCTCTTTGTGACGTGGGCATTTATAACCTCTGGATCTTTGACAACCCATCTGAGTCGGCAGGCATTGATCTCTCTGTAGTGACAGATAATGTGAGCTTCAAAGAGATCGCCGAAGCCGTTGCAGAGGTTACTGGCAAACCTGCATCGCATCAGAGCGTGCCATTCGAGTCATATGCACCTCTGGCAGAGCCTTACCCAGGCGCTTACGTCAACTGGGCCCTAGGTCCTGATGCACCACGAGACGACTCAATCATGAGTTGGCGAGACAATTTTGGTGCGTTTTGGCGATATTGGGGCGATGGCATTACTCCATCGCGGGATACAGAAATCCTCGATCGTATCTATCCCAATCGTATCAAAACAGTGAGAAAATGGATGCGACACGTGGGATATAATGGGACGCGTCGGGGGAGCGTTCTGAAGATGGTGGAAGATTGGGCTGTTAAAATGGCATCTTAGGCTTGTGCATACGCCAATGTCTGATACTGGTTGGTTGAGACCTTCGCAGTCTTATGTTTTTGAACTGTAAAGTATAGGACCAACTTCCTTCCGTGGATAGCTTTTCCCTCATATTAGTAGCAGACATTGTTTTATAAAGGTTGCTTAAACTTCAAGGTGACACTCTTATCTTGAGAGAACCAGGTACCAAGCCCAATACCTAATGGGTTTAAGTGCATACTAAAGTCGGTTTTGCAAGTTTGCTATTGCGGATGCCAATCAGACTCTTGGCCCTGGAAATGGCGTAATCTGCATTGCCGCAGTGGGTTAGCTGTGGCATTGAGTGGTTGTTTCAAAGCTTGCAGAAGCTTCGGCAGTGCTGTCCCAGTCCTCCAATGACTTCAAGGTACGAGGACACCAAACCATGCACCAGATTCTGGGCTGGTGTTACCGAAAACTGAGGCTTATCTGGCCATGAATCAGTCTCTACTGACCTTGCGTCCATGTTACCAGATTGATTTGTTCAGCCTGTGTGGAGCCCTGCATATGGAAGCGAACGCCAACCCATACCAAATCCTCGGTTACATCGGTAAGATGCTCAACAGCAGGGATCTTACAAGTTCGGATGATAAGGCGCATTGGAAAGGTACAAGCGTCGCTCGACGTGTCATGATCCTTGGTCGATGCGCAAGGGACAGATCTTGGGAGGGTTAAGCGAGGGGAACTGTTAAAAAGATGCTAGTGATGCTGGTACCGAGTCAAAACTGCATTTCGGGAATGGCTCGTCTCTTCAAAACCCATGATAAATGCCAAGACTCAGGAGCGGAATCAAGACAGACTCAGCTGTGGCTTGGAAGCGGCTTTCGAAAATCATGATCTTTGACAGCGAGTCAAGACCAAATACCGACAGGAAAAGCCCCTTTCTGAAAAGGTGGAAATTGGATGACCTGGGCGTTTTTCAGCCCTTTATCAGTTGGGTAAGGAAGCATGTTTCTTTTTCCAGATGATTTGTCGAACAGATAACTGTCAAAACTCTCATACGAGGCTTGTCACCAAGAAAGCGCCGCTGCCAGTAGCATGCCCACTACCCCAACAAGCGTAAACTCAGAATTGGCGGTTAATCTGCAGCGGTCGAGTTATCTATTGGAGCTAAGACGAGATAACGATAACGGGTGCTTCTTTCGGCATGGTCGTATCCGGGGAAAGCTGTCATGGCTGGATCGAACGAGTCAGTTGTTCTGCAGACAGGTTCAGCTCTCGTCATCGGCTGCCATTCAAAATGCAGATCCCGTCCTGCCTGCATGAGGATTCCCCCCCTTCTTGCTGTAGCAAATATCCTCGACTGTTATTTCCCATTATTTTGTGCGATTTCTATGAATTGGCGCTGCCACAGCGCGTGCTCAAATTATGGTTGGACTTCAACCTAATATTTGGGCCGCTGTCGCGATCCCATGGCTCGCGGCTTTGGCGTCCCTCGTTCTTCGTGTCTGCGCCCGACGCATGACCAAGATGAGCTGGTGGTTTGACGATTACTTCACCATACTGGCCTTTCTCTTCGCGACGGGGTACTGCGGTATCATGGTTGAATGTCAGAACCCCGGCTTGGCTTTTGATTGAGACTTACAATGATACAGGGACCCTACATACATATCTCGGAGTGTACATACCCGACTCGATGCCCGCCGATGAACATGAGGCAATTCTACAGCAATCACGGTTTCTGGCCTACTTCAATTCCCTTTGCTACGCTTCATCAATCGCTTGTTCCAAGCTCGCCATCTTGTGTCTGTATTGGCGCTTGTTTCGCATTTCATCCATTCGCATTCCAATCATGGTCACGATCGTCGTGGTAGTCATCTGGATTATCATCAGAACATTCATGCTCACATTTCGTTGCGTCCCCGTCCAGTCCCTTTGGGACTACACTATTACAGACAAGGTCTGCAATATCGACAGCGACAAATTCTTCCTGGGAACCATCACTGCTCATTTTATCATCGATATCATCATCTTGGTCTTACCTATTATTGAGGTCTTCAGACTTAGACTTCGAACGGGTCAAAAGCTGGCAATCGGTGCTCTGTTCCTTCTTGGTACCATGTAAGTTTTCATATCCTCCCACTTACTTCCCGAATTATTCGACTGACATCTAGTTCAGTGTCTGCATTGCATCTATGTTTGTGCTAATTGTACTTATTAACTGGCCTGAGGATACAGGACAGATGCCTCATGACTATGCCATGTTCTGCATTCTGGGATCTGTTGAAGTCAATATCGCCATTGTCTCTGGTCAGTACATGTCTTTGTCAGCCATCTGATTCAATTATTAACTAGCTATCACAGCATGCTTCCCTCTTCTTCGTCCAATCTTTGTCCATATTCTCCCTTCCAGTTTCCTCAGTTCTTATGGGAAAAGCAGCCAGCCTATCAGCCGGCCGAGCAATGCTATCAAGCTTACAACACTTATTCGGACAAATAAGGACCGCGAAGCTGATGAAACAAGCTCAACGCATCAATTGGCTGACATGGAGAACGGACTGCATTATCATTCTGGTGACGTGCAACGGACCGAAGGAGTGCATACTATGATCTCGAGTGAACAGTCGGGTTCTAGTCCTGAAGTTGACACGGCGGGAATCTACGTGCGAAATGACACGGTCGTGGAGATTAAGCAGGTTGAAAACAAAGGCTTTTATCGGCTTGAGTAATTTATATAGAGAATCAAGAGGCTTTATAGAACACCACTATTGGAACAAATGACATCATATACCAACAAACCGTTTTAGTGATCACCTTTCCTGTCTTGTTCCGGTACTACGTAAAGGGACCAGGGTCAACAGCCCGTGCTGCCGAGCTAATAAGCTTGATGTCGGTGGTGACCCATTGTTCCACGGCACTTCAACGATCCAAGTGGGACTCTGAGGTCTTGCGGCATACCATTACGGAGCCTACGGCCGCTCGGATGGACACGGACTCAGAGTTCGGAGTCCGTTGCGTGGATATTGGTGATGCTATCATGTTATACTTTGTAGAAATATTAAAATAAAATTATACGGGTAATGTTCGTGCGCTGACTTATGGCATGAGACCTTGAATTAAACTCTGTTGTATGGCCGAAAGTCCCGGATACTACGTCGGTAGTTCCCACGGCGCCCTGAGAATCCCTTCTGATCGGCAGCACTACGTAGTCGGACGTGCGTTCGTGCCGGAATTTTTAAATGACAAAGTCACACTGCGCTATCCTGTCGGCCTGCCGATTCGCTGTCTCGTGCTGACGTGCAATTGAAACTTTGGATTAGGCTGGTGTTACAAGGGAGGCTATAGCAATCAGCCGCACGTATTTAAGCATCCTCCCCTCCGTCTTTTGTCAGAACTCTTTAACCACCTTTAGTTTATTGACAAGATGAAGTTGAATAATTTCCTCCCCTTCTTTGCCTACTTGGCAGGCCATGGTGCCCTCGCAACGCCTAAGCAGGATACCCTTGAGGTCGATGTCGCCATTGTCGGCGGTGGCGCAACTGGTGCTTACGCTGCAGTCAGGCTGCGAGAAGATTACGGCAAGAAGGTCGTGGTAATTGAGAAGCAGAACAGACTCGTGAGTTACCTTGGCCGAGAGGAAAATGTGACTGCTGATGCGTTGTTAGGGCGGTCATGTCCACGCTTATAAGCCGAGCGCCAACGCGAGACCGATCAACTACGGAGTCCAAGCATATCTCGACCGAAAGACAACCAAGGCTTTCTTCAAGCGATTCAACGTTGGACTCATCTCTCCCGATCTGATCAGCTCCGCCGAACTGTTGTTCACCACCAAGGATGTTGATTTCAGCACCGGAAAGAAGGTTGATCCCGACTACGGTGCTATCAACTCCACCGTCGCCCTGGCCGCGTATGCTGCGCTGGCCGCCAAGTATCAACCTTGGTTCGAGAACGGCTACTTCAAGAAGGGAGAAGTCCCCGAAGACCTTCTTCTTCCCTTTGGCGAGTTTCTTGAGAAGTACCAACTTGGAAGTGCCCTTTCTATCCTGCGAACTCTCATCTGGCTTTCCGACGCGACGCATACCCCGACTTGGAATGTCATGGCTGTTGTTGGAGAGCCTCAGCTTGCGGCCTTCGGATTTGGTCTTACTGGTCCTACATTCAAGTGGCCATCGACATATTCTTCAGAGACACTCTACGACCGTGTCTATGACTTGATCAAGGATGACGTTCTTCTTGAAAGCACAGTTGCCTGGAGTAAGCGAACTTCCCAGGGCTCAGAGCTCGTCGTGCAGACACCCTCTGGCAAAAAGACCATCAAGGCCAAGAAGGTCCTCTTTGCGGCAACTCCATCACCAGACAACGTTGGTTCTTGGGATCTCGATACCAAAGAGAAGTCGCTCTTCTCCAAGTTCTCATGGGAGACGCTGTACGTTGGCGTCGTCGGCAAGACAAGCCTGCCCAAGGACGTTACTGGCATTAGCAACACCGCTGACAACGCCACCAACTTCTACCTTCCACGAGGTAACTTTGTCGATGCCTACACTCGTTCGGGTGAGCAGGACCTTTGGACAACTCGTGTCCTTGGTCAGGCCAACCTGACAGCTCAGAAGGCCAAGGCTCTTATCAAGCAGGTTTTCACCAACATCGACAAGGCTGGAACTTATGATGTGACCACTCCTGATATTGTTGCATTTGCATCTCACGGCTTGACTGTTCCCAAGGTCTGTGCTCAGGAGCTTGAGGGTGGCTTCTACAATAAGATTTATGCCCTTCAGGGCCAGCGCAACACTTTCTGGACTGGTCTCACTTGGGCTCCTGACTACACTCCTATTCTTTGGGACTTCACTGAGAAGCTGTTTCCCCAGATCCTGTCTGGCCTTTGAGTATGGTTAGTTAACATGTGGTGATGGGGGAGTGAGTCTGTAAGGTTTGCTACTTGGATGCTTTTTTCATACAGCCAGTTTAGAGTTCTATTCACTATAATGCAATAATTTATACAGACTATCGATGCAGCCATGCAAGGCATTTAACGTTCTTTTGTTACCACTATCTGTCCTAATACTAGTTATAAGGAAATGACTTTATTGCGGCTGTTAATCCAACTCAACTAAGCGACGTGAAAGCCGGGTTATATAAGCATACGCCTTTAATAGCTACATTGCTCACCTGCTTCCCCTTCTCGTGTTAAACACATGAGCACGGAGACATACCCTGGACTGGTCTTCTAACACAGCAACTGAAAACAGGTCACATTATGTACGAGGTGCCCAAAAGGATAACATTTTAGCAAAGCCATCGTCGTGGCCTCGGGAATATGAATTATTTTCGAGTTCTTTGGACAGGCAGTGGTGATTTATTAACAGATCCCGCCCTTGTGGTGCGTGAATTCTGAGGGCCTCCATTCCAGATAATGAAAAAGGTTGAGTAAATTTAGTATAGACTTATCATTCCACCGAAAACTTTGGGATCGCGGTCATCCGGATCTTGATGGGAGAACTTGGATAGAGCTGACAGTTAATGCTTGCATCGCGCGCTCTTACATGTGAAGTCAACCTCAAGAGGTCCAGAATCGAGCCCATTATCAGATTGACGGTACGACCGTCGACGAAAGCATCAGGGGGTTTAAACGCTATGACCACTAATAGCAGCCTAAAAAGGAGTCGCCATATTTGGATCCTCGGGAATGCAAGGGACATTGCTCCACTACAGGCAATCGACTGGTCTAGAAACCAGTGTAGGATTTATACGAGCCCGCTAAGTGGACTTTTAGTCATGTTACCGAGATTAGAGTTTAATGGAAGGATGTTCTATCAATTGCTATAAATAAATACAATACGTGTTGAGAAACATAAAACAGTCAATTCTTTCAGGTCCTTCAGCCCAGTGTCTTGGGGTTTTCTAAGTCACAATGAAGTTTCCGACTACCAAGGCGGCTGTCTTGACGCTAGGTACACAGGCAGTAATCGATTGAGCTTATCCCTGCTGACAGTTGCTGTAGCTCTATTCGAGACTTGCAATGCTCTCCAAGTGACCATCCTCGCAGATACCAACCGCGATGGAAAAATCGACAAGAAAGATAACGATGGCAAATCTTCATGGACCGCTAATCGTGGCGCCTTAATCTTACCGAACATCGGCGATACTGGCCGTCGTTGTGCTAAGCAATGGGGACCCAGCGTCGACATCATCCCGAGCAATGAGACTTATTTGGACCTGTGCAACGATGCGACAGATGACATCCAACGTAACCCAAAATATCTTGCGCCACTCAAAACGCTTCCCATATCCGGATTGAGTCCATCTGCCAAGGGATCCATCCGGGTCACCGATAGAGCAGCCGCAGCAAAAGTCCGGGTCTTCACAAAGAAGGGTAACAAGTGGATCTACGTATCAGGCGATTATGTGTTCTCGGCCAAGGAGCTTTCGTCGGGCCTCGAACTGGGTATTGATGCCCGCGATGTCCGTCGTCCCAAGGGTTGGGATGGCAATGCAAAGATACAGTTCACAGTCACCGATGGCAAGACAAAATCAATCGACACCGTTGCTGTCCGAGTTGCCCCTGTATTGACTCATCACCACGGGCAGGTGGCCCAGCGTGTCTTCTCAACCGGTGTGAACGAGCCTGGCTCCAACCCTGTTCAGCAGCAGTATGTGGATGATATCAAGCGCAACGTCGCCAGTTCTGGTATCAAAGACCCAATCTTCCTCTTCGACAACCAAGATATCTGGACACAAGACTTTTTCGAGCCCGGTTATTCTAGCATACCTGGCCCGAATGGCCCGATTAATATCCGAATCATGATCCGATCAGTCCAGAGCTCCCGTAGGTCCGGCCGCGACGCGTTCCATGAGCTCCGAAACGACAAGGTCGGCGCAGTTCAACATCCAGGTGACGGCGACACCATCGACTCCACTGGAAACCTGGAGACCATTCCGCCCTACAAGCACAATGGAAAGTCGTTCCCTCAGGGCAGAACGATCATGGGCGCTTGGGATGGAAGAGCCCCTCTCATGGTTGACTTTCTCAAGGCCCAAGAAGTTCAAGACCCTCTGATCCTCGATACAAGCTGGTTGTACGTTGGCCATGTGGACGAGTTCCTCCAGTTTTTGCCTGCCTACAATGAGCGTGGATGGATCATTATGGTTGCAGATCCGCTCAAAGGCCTTGATCTACTGAAGAAGGCGTCCAAGGCCGGTCATGGAAGTGTCAAGGCTGTTTCCCGTTCACTTCAAGTGGAAGAGAAGAAGCAGGAGCTGTGCCTTCCCAGGCAGACTATCCAAGAGGCTCTCAAGTTTAAGAATTTTGAAGCCATCCAGAAAAGCTCGGCTCAGCGCATTGAAGCCAATCTCAACATTCTCAAACGAGAGACTGGACTCACTGACAAGGATATCTTCCGAGTTCCTATGCCTTTCTACTATGCCGAGTCGGACAGCTGGTTATGTCCCGGACAGAAGCCATCAGACTCAAATGCAGAGGAAGATACCTCCAAAACGCCTCAAAAGACCTCAAGTAAGACCGGTATCACGTTGAAAGGAACTATGGGACCTGGTTACAAGGCCAAATCGATCGTGGAGGCAGGCACTCCCAAGAACTCATTGCAACGACGCGCGGTTGATACAGCTACCCAAGTTCTAGCTCTCTGGCCGGGTACCGTCAATGGCCTGGTTCTGCCGGACCAAAAGGTCCTTGCACCCAAGCCTTGGGGTCCTGTAATCAACAAGCAGGACATCTTTGCGAATGCTGTATCTGAGGTATATGCCAACGCTGGGTTCAATGTTACTTATCAGGATGATTGGTTCTCTCACTTCAAGTTGCAAGGAGACGTGCACTGCGGCAGTAACTCTTGGAGGGCTATAGATATCAAGTTTTAGAAAGTTATTTGCTTGGATACTGAATGGCTATTTCATTTCTTCTTATCAGATATTGAAGTAAAGCTGTATACTGTCAGCCTAGCATACTAGTCCATCCCTTGGGAAGCTATAGCAAAACCACGCAAGTCCAGTAATAACCGACTTAAGCAAAATGCTCTGCAGAAGTATAGTCTTCCTTAGCAAGACCAACCTTGTGCCCAGGAACGGCTTCTGTGAGGCCCATAGAAGATGCAATCTCCATCAACCTTGCCTTCTCCTCATGAGATGCAGTATCACCAAACACAAGATCCATATCCTCCAGACTCTTTCCACGAGTCTCAGGCACGAAGAAGTAGGTAAAGAGGAAGGCAAGAAGGCAAAATGCGGCAAAGAAAATGTAAGTACCCCAGCCAATGGTGGCCAGCATGTCAGGCGTCACAAGGCCGATAATGAAGTTGCACATCCAAGTAGCACTAGTGGTGATAGCCATGGCCTTGGATCGGTTGCCAAGGTTGAAGATTTCAGAGGGCAGAACCCAACCGATAGGCGCGAAGGAAAACGAGAAGTTGACGTCATAGATGTAGATAAAGACGATACCGACCCAGCCCGCCGACTTATTGTCGGTAAGAGCTGAGCCATATCCTCCGATGATGCCACCGACAATAACGAGAGAGATGAAGGTTCCAGCTGCACCACACATGAGTAGCGGACGACGACCCAGCTTGTCAATTAAGAAGAGGGCGGGTAGCGTCGAAAGCGTGTTGACGATGCCGTATACACCAGTCGCCAAAAGACCAGAGGTATTTCCAGAGAGTCCCAGCTGCGCAAACATGGTTGGAGCGTAGTAGATGATGGCATTGCAGCCCATGAACTGCTGGAAAAACATGATGCAGCAGCCAATGGCGAGGCGCTTGAAGGCGGGCCATGTAGACAGGAGAGCAACATGCTGAGCAGCAAAGAGGGAAAGGCCCTTCTTCCCGGGAAACTTCTCCGCTGACACGGACTCGTCAAACAGCACCTCGGTCTTGATGGCTAGATACTCAGCTCTGATGGATTCTGAGTCAACCTGAACCTGACGGAGTTGAGCCAGGGCAGCAAGGGCCTGGTCTTCCTTGTGGCGCATGAGGTAAAAGCGCGGGGACTCGGGAAAAAAGATCATTCCAATGCCCAGAACAAGCGCAGGGAAAATCTGGAGGGCAAAGGGAACTCGCCAAGCAGCATCGGACTGTCCTGTGCATCCGTTGGGGCCGACATCGTATCGAGGATCGAAAGTGCGCTTGTCGGAAGTACCACCTGAGTACGGGATATCGGGTGCGCATCGATGGCCACCGATATACTGGGTTCCGTACTCTAGCCAGTAGCTCACGAGGATGCCGAGAGTGATGCTGAGTTGCTGCAGAACAACAAGAGTACCCCGGATGCCGGGGCTTGACACCTCGGACATATACATGGGCACAATCATCGTCAACATGCCAACTGCAAGACCAGCCACAGCACGTCCTGAGTCTCGTGTTAGGAGGAGTGAGAGAGGGGAAAAGTCTGCTGCTACTCACCAGCGAAAAGCATAGGGATCGAGTCGGCGCCAGCCTGGAAAGCAGAGCCGATGGTAAAGACGACAACAGCCAGGAGAATAGAACCCTTTCTACCAATGTAGTCGGCAATGGGGCCGTTGATAAGAGATCCAAACCACGCGCACAGAAGCAGAGTTGAGACGAACCAACCCTTGAAACTGCTGTCAAGGTAGATTCGTGGAAAGTCAGCGGCGAACGACTCCATGGTCAATACGCCCGACACAACACCTTGATCGTAACCAAAAAGGAAGCCACCAAGACTGGCAAACTAATACAGAGTGTCAGTTCCGATAAAGTTACGACAAGAAGCTGCTTACCATAGAGAGTCCAAAAATATAAGGGTTCTCGCGCAGCTGTCGCCAGACACCCTTCTTGGGTACTGCGTCGAGCTGCTGCTCATTTGTGGTTCGTTCAGCAGCCATATTGAAACTCGATGATTAAAGTGATGTTTAGGTCGAAATTGAATCTGGGGATGGAACTGGGGAAACAAACATTTGTGGAGGTTTTCTGGGGTTCTTATATTCGCATAGGATCAGCACGAGGTGGACAAGTTTTGCTCCGTGTGGACTGAACCCCACAGAATACTGGAGATCGACACTACGTAGGACTCCATCTCGCTGGGTCCGGCCAACTCCAGTCCGAACCAATCAGAAATCAAGGAGCTAAGTGTCCGGACTACTGTATCCCGTGAGGAATTGGAGCTGCCGTCTCATGATTCAAGAAGGACCGGTCTCCTCCGAAGAAATCAAGTTAAAGAGTCCTAAAACAACCTGGATTTTTCGCCGAATAAGCTCTCCTAATCAATTATCTCAATATGGATGGCGATTTGGTCAAGACAACAAGCAAGCTCAATGATCGCGTCGAGCGTCTTCTGACCCGGCAGAAGCTCTCAGGTCCAACACAACGAATCTTGATTGCGTTGGCTGGCGTACCAGGATCGGGCAAAACCACCATCTCTGATGCCTTGATCAGGGAGCTGAAGAAAAGCGGCATTCTCGATGTCGCAGTACTTCCAATGGTTAGTATATCCTCGAGCCCCAACTCCGAGCAACAACTACGTCATTAACACCCAATTCTCCAGGATGGATTCCATTATACTCGTACCACTCTCTCTTCCTTCCACGACCCTGACCAAGCCTTTCGAAGGCGAGGCGCGCCTTTTACATTCAATGCCGCCGCCTTATTAGATCTCGTGGTGTTACTCAAGACGACACCTGTGACAACAGATGACGAGCCGCAAACCATCATTAAAGCGCCGGGGTTTGACCATGCGAGAAAAGACCCAATCCCCGATGCCATTGAGATTTCTTCACGGGCCAAAGTTGTTATCATCGAAGGCAACTACGTACTCTTGGACCAAGAGCCTTGGAGCCGCATTTCCACATTGGTAGATGATAAGTGAGTCTCGCGATCACCCCCTATTGTACTCCAAGCTAATGTGTACCAAAGGTGGTTTGTAGATGTGCCAGTTGATATCGCACGGGAGCGCTTAGCATCACGACACCTAAGAGCCGGAATCGAGACGACAATAGAAACAGCGATCAAGCGGGCGGACGAAAACGATATACCGAACGGAGAATACATTAGATCCCATCTCATCGAACCCAATGTGCGCATTATAAACTGATGATTCTAAGAAATCCATTCACTGCGGAAAGTTGGGCCAGTCTGGCCAGCCAAGAACGCTGGCAAACTCGTCAGCAGATGCTGCTGGCCACGTCGAAAAGTCCATTAGCATAGGATCCAGCTGGACATTTGCCCAATCCCCCGTGTTCAAGAGAGGGTCTGGCAGCATGACGTCGATAATGTTGGCGCAGCGAGTCGCGAGCTCATTGTCCACAAATACATCTCGGAAGATGCGACGGACCGTGTTGACATCCTCCTGCCACTTGGGCATGTCTGGTGATTCCGAGTTACTGAGGATAGCAAGGATGATGACCAGGGAAGCGTGGAATGTAAAATAGCTAGAGAAGTCAACCTCATCCTACAGACTTGTGAGGAATGACTCACATTGAATACCAAGTCACAAGCCTGGTTCTCTGTCTCTCCCTTGTATGCTGATCGATCGATGCTATCGTCGCACTCGCAGCGCGCACCGCAATGTTCATGCACCTTTCATCAGCCTCACTGACTGGTGCTGTCATGTTAGAATTACTTGTCCCAATTGCCCGCTTGAGAAATAACTGGCGGAAGATGATGATCTTGAGATTCCAGAAGCGCCACCAGAGACGTGACCTGTTGAAATAGAATGTAGGCTCAGCTGAGCGGACATCGTGTTCCAGCCTCAAGTACTCCGGCAATGTGCTGGACCATTTGTCCAATGTTGCATCCATGAATAGCGCGTCTTCCGGTGCCACACATGACGATGAGAGCAGACGATTGGAGATGTAGTTGGACTTGACATGTAGCTCGCTCTGGTACTTCATGCCTGAGTACAGCGTCGGCCTGCTTACCTCTTCTGGCGCAAGTTCTGTTACACTCGTGAGGTCCTTTGCACACATTAGCAGGACATTCACGTTATATCCGGTTACCGCATACCTCATCATCAATATTCAGAACCGGTCGCACGTCCATGGCCTCCTCACCCGGAAGAAGGATCGGCCTCCCAAAGGTAGTCGAGGCACCACTGTCAAACATGTACAGCCCCCACCAGACACGGCGCCGCATCTCTCGTTGCAAGAGACTGATGTTCCAGTCGGGCAGCTCTCTGTGGAGACCCAAACTCAGAGCCATTCGTGTCGCAAGCCCGAGGAAGTTGGATCCCGTGTTGGGCTTATTGCGCTTCTGGCTCAGATTGCTGAACAAAATGAGAGCTTGAACAAAGGTCAGATCCGCGCTTGCGAACAAGCACTCGGCGTCCCCAAACGAGAGTGCTAGATGGTACAGCTCATCATCGAGTTCAGCGTTATCATTGTTGAGACACCATGCTCCCAGTGCCATAATGGTATAGAGCAGCATCTGCCACGATCGTCGTTTTGGTCGCTGTATAACCTCGTGAAGCTGGGCTCGGAAGGTGGGCTCATGCACGAACGGATAGCTGCGGTGGTAGACCTCAAAATAGCCATTCACCAACTGTTCGATAACATGTCTCGACGTGACCGAGTTAGATAGCTGGGAAGAAGACTCCAACCCAGCATGGGGTCGTGGAACCTCGGAGCTATCGCCGATGAAGGGCCTCGAATGACCCGTCCAGAGAAGTAGTGATCTGAGGAAAAATACACCAGCAGTAGGTCCTAGTCAGAGTTAATGGTCTGTGTGTTTATGTCTGGGCTCACCGACTTACCCAAGTATCCCGCCCCTCTCGGCTCAACGGACAATGACGCCATCCCATCCGTCAGCTCATCAACGTCTTCCTGCCAATCGAAGCCATCGCTTTCTGCAGGCACGGCATCTGAAATGGCACCGCCGACCTGAACTGGACTGTGGGGCGACGTAGGATTTATTGGTGGCGACAGGGATGCATTCGGCTGGGATGCGTCTGCAGGAGCTTCAACTCCCTGCGATGCCAGGGCTTCATTGATGTCAACATCAGGGAGGAGCTGGCCAAATAGGCGCTCCACGTTTGCGAGGCGTCTCTCAACTCTGGTCAGATAGCTGAAGGGAGGGGTCAGCTAGGTCTTGCACAGCTTTGATGGAGCAATTACTCTCGCGTGAGAGGCGTTCTCTGAGTCCTCTCGCTATAGCGACACGGCCTCCCAGACCGCGTACAACTCATGCATCTTGGTCTTTCCTTGGAGCACTTCGTCTGTCAGCGGCTATGCTTCAGAAGACTGGGATAGCGCCTTACCCTGAGCTTTTTGCTCCGACAATAGTCACACTTGAGGTATATAGTTAGCCTCAAACTAGGCCTATGATTTGTTCTTGAACAAGACTCTTACTGCGGGGATTTTTCCAAAGTGCGGCTTTATATCTGTCATGCCTTCTGGTTCTACATTGATGTTGAAGATTAAGGTTTTCATGGGGTCTGGGAAAAGTGACATCCATATGACACCATGTTGGTGGAGGCCTTCCCCGGAATATCTTTCTTCCTTTGTTTCATTCCTCATTTTTACCCTGATCGCAGCCAAAGACATAGGTCGTTCAGACAGTCAAGTGCAGCATCTTATTACGATCCATCGCACGGGTTGTAGTAAGTGGTCTAAAAAGAATAATCTCTAACTTCCTTCAAGGTCGTCTAATCTTTAAATATGTTTCGACCTGTCTTTAATAACACAGCACAATTAACACCTAGAAGTATTACTAAAAGATTACCTTCCTTGTTATCGCACTGAATGCCTGAGGGGCCCCCTGCACTTGCAATGGCCTCTCTACACAGCCCGCTTTGATAGCTATCGGCAAGGTAAAAGTAAATCTATGCCGAGCGGTCCAACCATCGTCTGTCTCAACTTCAATCGCACTCGAAGTTCAATCGGTCATTGCTCCACAGCCCTTTTGTCCATTCTTCAGCTTCTTTCCATCATCATCTATCCAACTGTAGCCATTCGCCACAATGGTCACTGTGTAGAAAAAGAGGAACGGCAAGTCCGTCCTCAACTGGCTCGCAGGCAGCTTGGGGTTCAGGCGTGGGACCTTGCTCACGGTTGGGGGGCGCGATATAGGTATCAGCTTCTGGTCTATTAACTTGAACTTCAAATAATACTCTTATGAATATACTTCAGGTAATATACTAACTACTTATATAATAGCCTAAGATAAGCTTTTAGCTTATTATTAAGGTCGCCGCCCGTCACTGAATGATCCCCTCTATGCTTTTTTTCGACCTCCTAGTATAAGACTTTACTAAGCCTTAGCTAATTTCTAGATCGCTTGAAAATGAGGCTGTCTGCATTTGAGGCCAGCAAGCGTTCTTAATTCTCTTTGGCTGAGTTTCTGCAGGTCTTTAACTGCTTGAACATTAGCTAATTAAATGATATGAAAATGATGTGTTTGCAGATAGCTGCAGTCTGCACTTTTGCCCAGTCCCTAAAGGAGGGGAGAGAATATAGCTCAATAATTGGATAATCAAGAGTGAAGGGCTGCTGCAAGCCGTGACTAATGCGTTTGCAGCGCTGCTATCTCACGTAAGAATGCCAACCGGTTGAAAATCATATCATTTCAAAAGTAAGATTTATGGCCTAATTACTTTTTATTAATACATGTTCTTCCTCTCGACCAAAGTCTTATCTATAACCCGTTGTTCACTTTTATTTGGTGGCAATCCTATCAAAGTCATGGATAACGTTGAATACCTCAGTTCCGCAGATTTACTACTGTATCTACAGAACGTCTGCGAAGATCAAGAAGATATTCCAGCCCATGACAAGGAGCTCGATATTGCAACCCTTGTTGGCGACGGTACTCCCCAGGAAATTCAATATGTCATCGATCTCTGTAAATGCATTGATGAATTCGAGGAAGAAGAGCAAATCAAAGCGACAGACAGGCTCATTGCATATTTATTAAACTCCCCCATTATCGACGACGCTGAAGTTTTGGAGCAAGCGATAGAACTAAGCGCAACGCTCTATAGGAATCAGTCTGTGGCAAGAGATGGAAACCTTCTGACTCATCGAGAGAATAATTACGCAAAGGCTTTGGGGCATCGATACTGGCAACAAGGAATCCGCGAGGATCTCGATGAGTCGATCAGGCTTAGTGAAGAGGCTGTTGCTGCTTCTCCACAAGCTATGTTCATTTTGAGTAGCCCAATAGGCACCATCCAGCAGCAACCTGGCCTGGAAGTCCATGCTTTGAGCACGCTGGCAGCCAGACTCGATGAACTCTTTCAACTAACGGGTTCTTTGGAATCTCTAAATCATTCGATCAACATTATGGAAAGGTTGGTTACTGCCGTGCATGGACCCGACTGGGAAGACAGTCGAACAGAGTGGTTAGGCAATCTCGCTGCAAGCATACAAAGACGTTACGAACAGAACGAGGGAGACACTTCTGAAGATATAGACCGCGCTATACAAATATCACGAGAGGCACTTCAAATGATGAATGGAAATGATGCTCGGAGATCATTGATGTTGTGTACTCTCGCAAATGCACTCGGTGGACGTGCTTTTGCTACCGATCAGACGGACAACCTTGACGAAGCTGTACGATTGCTTCGCGAAGCTCACGACATCACGCCGACGAAAGACGCAAGAAACATCGAGGTCTGCTACAACCTCGCACTTCGACTGTTTCAAAGACATGCGGCCAGCGACGTAAAGGAGGCTATTAGCATTGCTGAATCCACACTTGAATATACTCACAATAACCACCCTATTCGGCCACACTTACAAAACCTCCTTGGTGCTTTATACTATCAACAGTACACGAAAGGAGTCTCCAAAGAAGGAGCCTTGAAAATATTAGAGATTTCATGGGAAGCCCTCCGCAACTCTCACTACCCTTCGGTGTTATACCGCTTGCAGGCTGGACGGCGGATCCTTCGTCTCTGCTGCGAGATGCAGAATTGGCTAGCGGCGTATGAGGCCGCCATTGCTACCATTGAGCTTATCCCTAAGCTATCAATGCGTGAAATTCGAAATTCGGACAGGCAGCGCCTCCTGAGCAAAGATGATGTCGCAGGCTTTAGCTCTGACGCCGCGGCGGCTGCTCTGAATGCTGGGAAAAGCGGTTTTGAGGTTATCAGATTGCTTGAGATGGGTCGTGGATCGTTAGCCTCTTCGGTGGCAGAGCTGCGCACAGATCTAACTTCTCTACAACGAGAGTACCCCAACATGGCCGAGCAATTTATCAAGCTTCGAGATCAACTCCAAATTAGCTCACCCGGACAACACCACGTAAGTCAAGGGTTTGACGCGCTGTTGAGTGTCATCCGACAGAAACCTGGGTTTGAGGACTTTCTGATGCCGCCGGGTGATCAGAAAATCCTCGACGCCGCTGCGGATGGGCCTATCATTATGCTCAATCAGAGTGAATATCGAAGTGGTGTCGACGCCATTCTCATTGAGCGGGACAATATCCGCATCATGAATCTCAGAGTCAGTCTTCAGGACATGAATATGCCGCTTGGCCGTCTACAAGACAATGATTTCCTTGAACGGCTCTGGGGCTCTGTCGCCAAACCAATCTTGGAAGGGCTTGGAATTGGCTTACCATCGCCTGGCGCACCCTTGCCTCGCATCTGGTGGATTCCTACGGGTGCATTGAGCAGATTGCCGTTCCACGCAGCCGGTTGTCACTTTGCATCCTTTGCAGACAGTGTGATTGACCGGGCCGTGTCTTCATATAGCTCTTCAATCAAAGCGCTTCTGGAAACCCGAGCACGTTCCTCCTGGCTTCCCCAGCAAAGCAAAGATAATGCTGTTCTAATTGGAATGTCGAATACACCAGGCTGCTCGACCCTCCACTATGCCATTAAGGAAGTGCAGAAGATAGCAAATCTTTTTGCGACTTATGGTTTTACAAGCACAGTACTGAGCAATGGCAGGGCCCAGAAGCAGAGCATCCTCCAGCTTCTCAAAACCTGCGCCATGTTTCACTTTGCAGGTCATGCTATGGAAGATCCATTGAATCCATTACACAGCGCCTTGCTACTGCATGATAAAGAAAAAGATCCAATGACGGTGGAGAGCCTTCTCGAGGTGAACTTGAGCGAAAGAAGCCCGTTCTTAGCATTCCTTTCTGCATGCAGGACAGGTAGCGTTACTTTATCCAGATTTCAGGATGAGAGCATTCATCTAGTTGCCGCCTACCAACTAGCTGGGTTTCGCCACGTTATCGGTTCTTTGTGGCCCATTGAAGACCAAGCCAGTATGAGTGTGGCAGAGGAAACGTACAGGAACTTGCTACAGGGAATAACAGAAGATCGTGTTAGTCGAAGCCTCCATGAGGCTACGCAGAAATTGAGAGATAATGCAAGGCTTGTTAATGGGGTTAGAAATCACACTGAGCCTCGGGACATTATATCAGTAGATTCTACTAACAATAAGTTGAGAGAGGAGGAAGGAAGTTGGATTCCTTTTGTTCATTTTGGTATTTAAATGTCGTAATAATACCAGAAACAACTTGAATTATAAGATAATTTGGTATTTTTAAATTATAACATATTAAATAGGGGTGGTAAACCTTAAATTTATACATATCTTGTTAATAAAGTCCAATTGGGTGATATATTAATACTTGATTTAAAGATCTAGGGTATTTTCAAAATAATAAATATTATAATAATTTAAAAATAAGAGATATATATAATAAAGATTAATAATTATAAAGTATACTTTAAATATTTTAAGAAATTTATTATTATTCATGTTAACATTAATTATTTTAAATTTTTATTAAAATATAAATAGAAACTTATATATATTCTTAAAATATATTATAATTAAAATAATTTCTCCTATTTATAGTGCCATCGCCGACCGCAGAGTACGGTCACCCGGACACAGCTCTGATATCAACCTACCTAGCATTCTATCAGACTGACCTTACAAAACCCCAAGTGGTTCAATGCTTGCAGCGCGTTATCCGCTCCGATGACCCTTCTATGCAATATGAACGGCTCATTCATGGATATAAGCTACCAGCTCACCTCGAGCATTGGAACTATCTTACTGTGGACGATGACGCCCAGATGGAGGATCTCTGTGTGCACCTGAGGTTCGACACAAGCGTAGGACACTACTTCTTGAACAATTTTGCGCTCCAAGCACATGCCAAACAATTCGAAGTCAAGATGCAGGCTTCGGGCTGGGACATCCTGCTGGTATCAAACAACGCCATGTCAAAGAATCTAACCACTGGTTTCAGCGGGACCAATGATAACAAGACAATGCTCCCTCAGACAATTAAGCAGGAGGACTTACCTAGTCTACTACAGACGAATGCAATGCGACTTCGACAGCTTGGGTCGACCCAATCGGTGTGTTTTATTGTCCCTCCTGAGGTGCAGCGGAACATTCTTGACCTAAGAACCGGCAATGACCAAACTCGTTCACCTGTAACATCTTCGGACGTTGTGTATTGGCTACTTGAGCATAGTTGCAAAGCAAATGATACGATGGTGCCGCTTCATACGTCGCAAGGATTCCACTTTTGTCGACGCACTAACGCCTTGTGGAAATATTTCAACCATCCCAAGGGTGCAAAGGACAAGCTACAGCTTCTGGATGCCATACAACAGCGCGAGGACTGGACTCTTGAGCAGCTCTACGGGCCCAATAAGTTCTTTTCAGCCGAGGAAACTATCTCCCAACTCGACTTTGAATGCCTAAAGTCGTTTGCTACTAGTATTTGCCAGCAGAAGCTCGAGCAGTCGGGGGACTACTCATCTGCGACGAAGTGGAGCTACAGCGAGAGGTCGAGTTTGAGTTCGAGCAGCTGCGTGAGAACCAGAAGCCCGTGAAATATATACCGCTCACATTCCCTGGACTTGAACCAGCTCTCATACATTTCGTCAAAACCGGACATCTCCAAGCCGGTAGCAGCTTCGTACAAGGCTTCGAATTCCTGAGTAGGACCAAGATAGGACATAAGTTTGGCTTACAAAAGTCTTCATCTCGGCTTTTCATCTCAAAGGAATTTACTAAGAGTATTCAAAATAATCGTTATATAAACAACGAAGACGTTGTGGTAAATAGCCCTCTGCGATAATGATTTGGAACTGTTCACTAACTATAGTAGCAGCCAGTTGAGTAGGTTCTCTGGAGCTCAGCAACAGAGACAGCTGTCATTGTTTTTCCTGAAGAGGCTGAACTACTCCTCGCAACACACTGGAATGCGACCACTGCCGTTATGTCATTACTGACTTATGCTGCACCCGTGACGAAGTCAATGTGGCGATTCAATACACTTACTTACTTTACGCTGCCGACGCCACCGAAGACAAGGCAGTTTCCTTCCTGGCTGATGATCGAGATCGGCGTTCTTTCAGGACGGCTATACTTCGACTACAGCAAGTATGAATCTTTGATGACATGGTTGGGTGCCGACCGAGAGACCGAGTCTTCAGGTGCCAGTGTGGATGACTCCTCGCAATCGGTCTCAGGGGTGCACGGCTTGATTATCGGCCAACCTCTGAAGTTTCTTCAAGAGTGGTTGACCTATCGACGCCAGACCCAAGATAACATGCACACCCCGATGGGTTATATATGTCAGAGGAAGAAACTCGATAATCAACATCCCTTCTTTGCTTTGGCTACAGTACCCCCTGATGCAAAAGGGACTGGGGTTAGATGTCCGAGCAGAGCTATTAGGGTAATACCAGCACTTACTCCCAAGGGCTCCAGCCGTTAGACAATAGAGTATTCAATGCCTCCGAATTCCGCCTCGTTAACTGATTGCGGTCTGTTCTTCGAGGATGAGCCCGCTGAACCTTCGAAAGAATTAAATAGTGCGCAGGTGAAAGCATTGTATGAAGTTTGGTGGTATCGCTGAATGCAGTCTACAGGGTAAGCTGAGCGTTATTGCCACTTAGTCAGCTTCTTTCGTGAGCTAGCCATGCCTTCAGGCTTCCAGGGAAGGTGGACCTGCACCTTTTTCGCGGGTTCGACGCGTGGCAAACGCGTTGCAATCAACATTGAGTGTTGTTCACAAGGAACACCCTGAGTCATTGGCAACCTATTTACTTGGCTCATCAATAATCGACTTTCATGTTCCAAGTAATAGATTTCCTGCCTCCGCTAGCTTCTCCATGTCCAGGTGGACAACGAAACAACCATGTCATAGCATTTTGCCATCCAGCGTATCCTCGAACAGAGCATGACTTACTCCGCTTTAACGCACTTAACGGACTAGACCGGGACAGCTTTAAATTTAATCTTATACTTATATCGTGTAGTATTATTGCCAGAAGTACTTAGAAGGCTAGATGGCTCGCAGCATCTGGTGACCTTGAGCAATTCGTCCGGGTAGAGACCCTACAATCATCTTAAGAATAACAATTAATGTTTGAACTACTGTTAAAGGCCTGAAGAAATTAAGAGCCACGAGAAACTTAGATATAAGAATATCCCGCTTCGAGGAAACCTAGATAACATTAAAATCATCACAGATTATTACATTTCATCTAACATTCGATAACTGTTTATGATAGCCTTACGTTCTGTATCTAGAGTTCCACTGCAGATGCCTGAGTCTCCAGAATGGTGTCATATTGGAATGAAAGCCCCTGCATACCTGGCGCAGTTGCAAAAGCCTCATCTAAGATTCAAAGTCCCTCCAGCAACTCCTCCTCAGTGCTAGTAATTAATGGCGCCAAGCGAAGTGTTGCACTGAAATAGGAATCACTCGAAAGATTCGCCTATAAATCGCGTTTGAAGACATTTTCTGCTATCTGTTTCCCAAGCTCGACGTCAGCTGCCTTTGTTTCCCCGTTTGACATAATAACACCAGCCATTAAGCGTCGGCCGCGAACATCTCCAATACAGTTATACTTGGACTGCAAGTTGCGTAATCCGGCATAGAGAATGTTTCCTAGTGCCCTGATATTCTCGATAAGGTTACCCCTCATGACGATCTTAAGCACCTTGTTACCAACAGCACAAGGAAAGGATCGTTTGTATATGACTTATATATATGATAGCCTCTCTTGGCGTGAAAATTGCTAATCTTAGTGATATTTATAACCGCACTAAGTGGCAGACTATTTCCGAGGGTCTTACTCAGGGTCACGATATCTGGGATAATGCCCTCGTGTACAATGGCCATGCGATCTCCACTGCGCCTAATACTGGTTTATGCCTTATCTATAATAAGAAGCATTCCTCTCATATTACATTCTCTCTTTAGAGCCTTGAGATATCCCAGTGACAAAACATAAATACCAGCAGAAGACTGAATATACTTAATGATATATACTGTAAGAGAGCTATATAACTGCATATCAGTCATAGACCAACCGTGTATCATCTCTTTTTCCTATTTATAAGACCTATTATGGTTATGAAAGATGGATCAGTAAGAACTGGGTGCTAGAAGTGCACATATACCAGGCATATTAGGTCTATGACCTTTGCGGCCATATCTGTACTACACAGCGAACGCCTGTGCAGTCATTCCATCCCAGCTTGTGTTTTTACTTGAAATCGAGATATTATCCCGCCTTAAGTTAATAATTCTTAGACCTTAATATAGGGGAAGATAGTTAGTATAATATTAGATTTCGAGAAGGTTTGCAAAATTACTTCTGGCTAGTTCCTTTACAATAAAAAAGAATTAGCCAGAACCTCCTCGAAATTGTTCTACTTAATTAAATTCAGATTATTGCACTGATAGCTAGTCAGTGAATCCCTGTTTATCTATGGGTAATATTTGAAAGTTACAACTTGGAATGTGCTTTGATAGCATTAATTAAAAGCCTCAATTGATGCGTATGGAAATACTCATGCACTTGAAGACTATTACTGGAAACCTAATACATTGACATCAAAGCTGAAACATATTCTATTCTTCCTGCTCTATATTCGGCTGTTCCATCAGCTCAACACTTATGCACCGCTCAGGTACCAGACCTAGACTCGATCCTATTCTGAAGTTCAAAACATCCACGGCCTTTTCTATCGGGGCTTCCTTCAGATCATCAAGAATTCGTGCCCAAAGACTTCCAGGATGAGTGCATACAGCCAATTCGAGGCTAGGTGACCCATCTAAAAGGGTCAATATCTGAACACCCAAGGGCTCATCTCCATGTATTAATGAGAGAACATGTAGGCCTAAATCACAGCCACTCCCACTGAGAATGGGAAACACCACCAAATCTTGCTCATCTGTCCATGACTTGTGAAGCCTTCGCCCCTGGGAGAGCCTCACTTCTGCTACCTCGCATAGAAGTTGGGTAACAGCTGGATCGATTTGGCCCACGGCTTCCGCCAACGTCTCACTCGCAAACCTTCTAGAGCCTAGATCTTTCCGGTCCATTTCCTCTTCAAAAATGGCCCCGTCATCAGGGTGGAACAGATGCCTGTAGGCCTGCCATGAAGCTTCGTACTACAGCCTCCCGTACTTCAATGCTTTATCAACATGACCATACATGTGATATGCGAAAAACATCAAGTAATTCACATCTTCACCTGGAGGTGGTGAACCAACACAGTGGAACGGCATTGATACATACTGTTCCAAGTTAGAGGATTATTAACAAAGACATATTGTGGGGTGATTGGCATACCAGATTCTCTCACCGCATCAAACGAGCTAGAAAACGCGGGACCATCTGTGTCGGGTCTACTTGCAGACCACGCTTCGTCGCTTCATGTTGAATTCTACTTGTGAGCGCATGTGCTATTCGAAGCTTCAAATCCGCAATCTTGGAGAGATGCTCCCTTTGTCTCATAGTCGGCATGTCGTCAGGCGTGAGTAATCGGACAAGTACAAGTTGCAGCCGTCTGAGCCAGGCTCCCGCCTCAAGTAGAACCATGAGAAATAAGCCATGACTTCCTGCCATGTGACCCTCGAGAATCGAGAGAGTTTGCGGGTCAGTGAACCAGCACTTGCTAAAGAGTGCTACTTGAAGATTGTGTTCCAGCTCTTGAAGGTGAACTGCCATGTTTCTGTCAAGGTTGACGGCCAAAAGGGAGCTGTGGTTGTCCAGATCTGGAATATTGAGCTCCCTGCATCGAGCCACAGTATCCACTAGTATCACGAGCCTGCGTTGAGGACATTGTTCCTGGAGGACTTCAGTCATCAAGTCGCTTTTGCAATGAGAAGGGGCTTTCAGAACACGGTATCTGCTCCGCTCCTGGGGGCCTATATGGTCAGGAAATGCCTCGTCTCCATAAACCGAAGCAGTCTGTGCCTGAAAAATGGTGCTGAGTTGCTGAAGCTTCATCTGAGCCTTCAAGAGTCTCATTGTCGTCAGACGATAAGGAGAACAAGATTCCTCTGTAGAAGCGGATGAGTCGACATCTTCTACTTGTCCTCTTTGATCGGGAGATCCCAGGAGGTAGAAGATGGTGTACTGAGCACCTAGGCTCCATCGCTCGTTGATAGCAAACCTCAAACTCTGCTCAGGTACTGTATCCTTCACCCGGCATTCGATAAGTTGCAAGACTTCCCCAATTACCTCTGAGAGAAGTACTATTGGCCGAAGGCTAGGCTCAATCATAACTGCATCTTCGACAGTGATTCCAAAGACACAGTGGTGGAGGATGGTAGGGCGGATATCTATTTCAGCTAATCTCGCAACTAAACTTCGAAGTTCTTGCATGAAAGTGTCGCGTTGGCTGAGCTCACCCTCCGTGCTGAACCGCCGCAGCGCCGCACCTAATGCTTCATAATCCTTCTTACCTCTTCTGCTAGCCTCAATCTCAAGCATCTTACGCTTGTCGGGCTGGATCCTCATAGGGTCTGGCATATAAATGAGTCTATCGTAACTGAGGAATGGAGCGTCAGCAAGCTCCGTGCTCACATCATGCACAATGCGCCGATCCCAGCTTGCTTGACTGTAGTCCAATTCAATCCAAGCATTACCAAGCCAGGAACCCTTTCCCGAAATGTATGACCGAAATATGTCGTTAGAGATGAGGGCATCGAGGAGTGCGAAGTCAGATCTAAGTACTGCCTTGACGAGGAACAGGCCGTCGGAGTGATCCAATGCGGTGGCTAAATCTTGGCAATCCAGATGTCTAGCAAGCAGTTTGATAGCTCGTGACTTCCAGTCATTAGCCAGGAACATAAGAGGCGTCGTAATGAAAAGGTCGAGAAAGCTGTTTCCAGTGAATTCAATTCCCACTGCAGATGGAGGTACTCGGATAAGTCGTGATAGACTGATGTCTTCAAGACCCTCGATTGCATTGACCAGAGCTTCGAGAGGCTGTTTGGTTTTGAGGAGCGCATAAAATGTATATGACAAGTTTTCGGAAGTTACCTGTGCCTTTTTTAGGATTGCTGCGAGATGTACCGGCTCCTCTTCCGCGCGAGCTCTGGGCCCCGGTTGATCAGTGCTCCCGCTACCATCGCTATCGGGGGACAGTAACCAGATGATAAGTGCTGGTAAATCTCTTTGCCTTAACGAATAACCATTTTCCAATAACCAGGTGACAACCCTACGTCGTGCCATAGGGTTTTCGATGTGGTAAAGTTGGATATAGGATGAGAATAAACCACCAGGGAAGAGGCCACAAGGGAAGCCGAAAGCAGGGGTATCTTTCTCGCCTTTGAAGATTTCAGGGGCATGTCTCAAGGCTAGGCCTGCAGACGAGATGTCTGTGTGCTCCAGACTCCACAGTATGAAGCGAGATATGATCCATGCCTCGTGGTTACTGCGCACCAGCCCTTGCTGAAAGAACGAGTGAAGAAAAGGGATGAGCTCCATGACACTACTTCGCCTTGCTGATTCCGCCCAGATCCAAAGCATTTCTCTCCGGCCATCGATGTCCTTAATCCTTTCTAAGAAAAGCGAGCGTTGACTTCATTTCACGGACATATTCATGTCCATTAATAGAGCTCCACAAGAGGGGGCATCCCAGCAGCGCAGATTCAATAAGGGCTTTGTAGTCTGCTGGTTCATCGACCACCAATTCCCAACGCTTTACAAAGCGAACAAGATAGTCTACGGAATGGATTGTGGCACAGGATTCCATTGCTTGCTGCAGGATGTCTTTAAGGCCCATCTTGCTGAGTGTCTTGCTGGTGCTCAAGTCAAGAATAAGTTCTGGTAGCCAACTTTTGTTGAGAAGAATGGACTGTTGAAGGACATTGACGGCTGTAATCGAGTCCGTCATGCCTACTATTTGCTTTAAAGCAAGACCACACAAGTTCACTACTTTTGTCAGCAATGGTAACTGATATTTAGCTGGAAGTCGAAGCAAGTGAGACAAAAATGGTGAATCCGACAGCTCAGAGGAAAGGTTCAACTCCGCCACCATGTCTAGGAGGTAGTATGCAGCAGGCGAATTCCCACGGCTGAATGCGGTGTATAGGGGTGATATACCCAGTTTGTTTAGTTGCGTCGGTAAGCAGCCGGCTTGTTCGACAGCAAGGCGCAGGAGTTGCAATAGACTCGGTGACCCTGCAAAATAATGTGCTAAAGTATCTCCAAGCACGGTCACCACATCGTGCTCGTAGAACGCAGTGAGTTTCTCGAAAGATGGCGGCTTCTTGGCTATAAAGAAGCCGCCACACCATTCCCTGTCGAATCTCAACTCCAGGTCTTGCGTCAGGGTGCATGTTTCTGCTATGAAGACCGGAAGACATGTGTTATCGGATTCTGGGAATGCCGGTTTTGGGAGGAAGCGAGCAGGAAATTTGAGATGCGGCGGAAACCTATAGCGCTGTTCAATTTCAAGTGCCTTTCCAATCCAGACACTGGTATCTCCGCGCTGGCGAGATGCCTCTAAAGCGAGCTCAACGCATGCCACATGACCTAACAGTACTTCTGGCCAGTAAATGTTTTGGGACAAGAAGAGAGGCGCATTTGCGACCTCTTGACGCCACTTTTGCAGCAGAGGCCTTGCTCTCTCTAACGCTTGCGCCCAGCGTCTCGGATGCCTGTACAACTTGGAATAGACGCGAAGTGCCTATCTCACCACAGTGGTAAGTATTTGTCCAGTTCGGGCAGGCTATAAAACGCTAACCATACCTTCAAAACCTTTATGCGCCTTGATAAGCGTTCAAGAAACAGTGTGAAGTCTTCGCCCAGTAATCTATCCATGGCTATCCTGCTATCAGGTCTATAAATTTCGAAGTAACCCTCTTGAAAGGCACTGAGTAGATCTCCGCGATGGCATGTGTTAGAGGTATCAGTGGCCGATACAATTTCTTGATCTGTTATGCAAAGAAATTTTTTCCGGGACTTATACCTGTCAAGGAAATCGAGCGCTCGGCCCAAGTCTCTCCGTAAAGGGTCGTGTCTCACAAGATGACCAACACAGTTCCTTGCAAGTTGGGACGCGTCAGCCGCTCGCTCTTCATTCCAGCTTATGTTCTCTAGAGAATCCTGAAGTCGCTCGAGTGCCAGATCCATCGGATCATGCTTCAGCCTTGCTTCAGTGACAAATTCCAGGTCCCGAGGCGCCATGTTAGTCTTGCCAGCGGCAAAGATGTACCATACTATCATTCCAAACGAGTACACGTCCCACCTTGCTACATCACGAAATCTAACTGTGTTAACAATGCCGGGAGACAGAAGGAGCTGCTCCGGAGCCATCCAGGTTGGTGTTCCCCCAGCATAATACGCGACAGAGCTGCTGATTGCGCATCCAAAGTCTGCAATCTTGGCGACTATGTCATTTCTATCCCCGGCACGCGTTATCAGGATATATTCTGGTCTGACCAAATTGTGAGTTCTCCCGCTGTCAAACGCGAAGGACAAGAGTTGGAGATACTGACTTCAAGTCAAGATGAGCGAACTTTTGGGAATGCAACGCCTCCAATCCACTACCAACATTGGTACATAACTTAAAGAGAGCCTGAGTAACAGGCATCCGCCTGGCTAGGCGAGCCCGACTCAAAAAGTCACTCAGGCAGCCCAGCTCGGCATACTCGTAAATCAAGACGGGGGGCTCCGTTGTCACCCAGCTCCCGTATGGAGTATAGAGCGATAAGAGTTTGACGATGTTCTCATGGGTACGGAGCACTTCGTTCATCAAGATCATGGTTTCAATAGAGAGCTCGCGCCAGACCCGAGCCCTTTCAGCATCGAGCTCCTTGGAATCAGACTCAATGAACTGCCGCCTGCGACAGACGATGTACCTTGGTAAAGATCCCTCGTATCCATCTCCAGTCTCGAAATCTGCTTTCAGAGGCACTTTGAAGACAGTGGAGTAGGCTCCAGCACCAATCGGCGAGATCCAGACGAAGTCATACTTGTTAATGAAAGATGCAGTCGATAAACTCATGTCTCCATCATTTGCCTCTGGAAAGAGCTGCTCGAGGTCAAGTGCGGGGTCATCGACATCTGCGCAAAAGGTAAGAAGGTGGCTGCATTCTCGTTCCTCTATGCGTTGCCGCTCGCTGACAGGTGGTATGGGCTCTTCATCGTATTGGAATTCGTAGTCGCCTTCGTCTAAGATACAGGCCATGTTTTCTTTTGTTTTTAATGGGTCAAGAAGAGAGCGATGCAAATTACGGTCGAGTTACGGGGAACACTTCAAAGCTGCACACTGCCTCAGATCTTTTCTCGGTGTAGCTTGGCGTAAACGCCACACCTGCAAGGGTAGAAATCAGGCTTCAGGAAGTGATACTTTTACCCAATTGAACCGTAACAATATATTTATAAGCACGGAGCTGAAATGCAAGAGGGTCGGGTGTCCAGTCATCGTCCTTCGTAATTCCCTTAAATGTCCTCTTGGCCGCGGACGAACACAGAAACCATCCCATCGACTTTCCATCATAAACATATACAAGTAACCTATCGCAGAGAATAAGAAAAAATATGTCTGGACTCGAGTGGCTTGCTGTCCCCCCTATCTTGGAGTCTGGTGTCAAAGCCATTTTCAAGGCCTACATGCTCAACAGGCTGCTCTTGAAACTTTCGATGACGCCGTCAAGGCAGTAAGCGACCTTGAGGTCTGTCACCTGCGACTTGTTTTCTGGCTTATTGCATCTGGGACAATTTCGGCTCGGGCAGATGGCGAAGTCAACGACCCTGTCAGGCCTCCAGAACTGATGCAACAGCTCTATCCGGTGATACTCTCTCAGTTCCAGGATGATTTCGCCGAGCTTCAGACGATTTTCGCTAGGTATAAGTTTCCAGTGACTTTCGCCGAATGCTCGCTCGTTGGCGAGGAGGCCGCTCGCCCATCAGTCCCATGGACAGTTGATTCAATCCGGGCGGTGCAGGGACAGATCATGGCCAAGCTCAAACAGGACATGAGTTACCATCGCAAGGTCAAGTTCCAGACGATGGACAAGAAGAGGGTTGAAGACATATTATCGCGTCTATCAAAGCATTTGGACTCCTTGTTCAGCTCGCTTTCGGCGGCTGGACGTCTCCAATGGGATGTGGAAGACCGTATCTATACTTTGAGTAAGGTTCCCAATAAACCCATCAACGAACTGCTGGTTCTTGCGCAAGAGGCGAGGTTCCAAGGTGAAGGTGCTCATGCAGCGCGCTATATGACTGTTGCAACGTTTAAGCAGGCAAAAGAGGAATATTTACATCATATGGATGCGCAGCGTGGTCTCCGCCCAGTAACACGATATAGTACGTACCTCGGGAACGCTATCCTGGAACTGGACGCCGCTTCTCATCCAGCTGCCAGACAATTGGGCAAGCTCAGGGTGCCTGGAGTGAAAGAGCAGTCAGTTATGGTAGAAATGTTTCGCAAAAAGGACCGGGGGGGTCTTGTTCTCATCCAGCAGGCAGAAGTTAACCTTCTCTGCTCTCTCCTCTCGGGGAGCAGCCCTGATATTCACCCCGATCTACAAGTGCTGCAATGTCTAGGCCATCTCACCCACCCGACAGACATGAATCTATATGCTCTTGTTTTTGCCCTTCCTCAGACCTCAGCGATCTCCATGCCCGTTACTTTGCAGTCGCTCCTCTTGATTGAGAGAAAGACGCCCGAGCGGCTTCCGACACTCGAGAGCAGGTTGAGCTTAGCGATCCGACTCACCAAGGCGGTGTGGCGCATCCATCACTATGGTTGGTTTCACAAATGCCTTTCCAGTTCGAATATTCTCTATTTTCCTTCTTCGCCTGGCGAGGAGCCGGAAATAGCCCGCGGCTTCTTTCTGGCGGGTTTCGACAATATGCGGCTCCAGACTTCCCTTGGATTGACCAACACAGCCTCAGCGGCCGATATGACTAGCCGAGCCAATTTCTATCGTCACCCAGCCTTTCTGGGGGGTGTTACGGACTTTGATGTTGTGGATGGATACGCGCCAGCTTTCGATCTTTGGTCGTTGGGCGTCATCCTCTGTGAGATCGCGATGTGGGCTCCCGTGGACAGCGGCAAGTTTGTACGCAGTCGCAGTAATACGAACAAGCCGGAGCAAATGGCGCAGATCTTCAAAGCGAGAAAGGGTGAGGAACTCTACCCTCTGTCGCCTATATCAGAACTGGCGCATCGCATGGGAACTGGATATGAAAGAGCAGTGGTAAACTGCTTTGCTGCAGGGGATAACGCTAAAGAACCGCGCTGGGTTGCAGAAAATATCATACGGTCCCTTATCCAGTCAACTGATGAGCAAGCAGTTCTTCGTAGCATAGATACATCAGGATGAATTCTTGCACGGTTTTTACTTAATTTAAGATGGAAATTTGACCAAATTATGGAGGAGAACGGGTGTTAGAATGCTTCAGGAAGACTTTACGACTGGTTTCAAGGGCATCTTACGTGTTTACTAATAATCAAGATTCTCATCACGAGTGATCTCGTAGTTAGAGTCAATGGTCAAGGGCTTGAATGAAGGCTAGATTAAAATACTACTTCAGTATGCTCAGCATATGTTATACACCAGAACTTCAATGATGATGTCCAGATATTCTACACCTGGATTCAGGCTTTGTTCTATGTGATGCGAGGTGAGCATGGCAAACTCCCTTCTCACGAGGCTGTCGATCAGCAGCGACCTTATGCTCAGTGTCGCACCTGATAATTAGTTACATACGTCTCCGTGGAGTCCAAATCAACTGTCCAAAGACAGAGAGTGAAGTCAAGTTTCATAGGTGGGATCCCACTGCATATTCGGAGTCCACTTGTTCTTATCTCTACTTCATGCGAGTCAAGATAGTGGCGGAATTGATGTGACTCCTTATCTTTTCCCCACGTTCTAGACTGCGACCAAATAGAGATGCGACAGGCCTCTATCGAATGAGGAGTCTCCGTCGTCCAAGGTTGCCCGTCCCTTCTTTAATACTACTTAGTTAAGCTAACTTTTAAACTTTAAAAAAAATATTATAGTTCTTAATAATTCTTATAAATTACGTATAAAGCCTTATAGGCACTTTATAACTATATTTAATATATATATTATATTTATTAATATTTTTATAAAACTTAATCTATTAGCTAGAATAAAATAATTTCTTCATGTTAGTTAAATATCACCAGCCCAGCCAATAAGCACTGGCAACAGACTTCAAGCAGCATGGTATCTGCATGCTGGAGACACTTTGCGAGGCTTCTTGCTTTTCGATAGCGTCTCTTATAGCTTGAGCGACTTGAGTGAGATCCCGGGATACGATTGAACGTTCGTTAAGTTTGATGTCTTGGCCATTCGCGTCGTGATAAATATGCCAGGTTTCTTAAATAGACGCTGACCGAAGTCTAGAAACTGGACTACAGGTGCGACAACGCTGAGGGCAGATGGTGGATTCATGTTTTTTCGACAGATTGGGAACGAATCTATCATTCTACACTATACGTTAAGATAAATAGCTTCATTTCATCTCTGCCTGCGTGAGATGTAATTGTTGGATGCGGGGTTTGTTTTCAGCTGAAGGTGAGATAAAAATATCATCTGCAACAGAAAGACCGAATAGAACGCCTGCACTTTTATGCAAGGTGATGGTATCAAGACTGCCCATCCTTATACCACTTTAACGATTGATAACATCACCGAGAAACAAAATCTAGCTGAATGACATATAAAATCACGCTGCCAGAAAAGAATTGACAAGCTACAGCATGTTGACACCTTCATTCTAATTCTTTCGTATCCGCGTAAGGAGTGGCAGCAGACCGCTATTACTTTGGGGAGTATGTATCTCCCCAGCTCTCCAAAAACCCATCTGTCCAACCTATGACAGCCCCACGAACCCCATATGGTGTCAGATGCGCAATACAAGCAAAAATCTGGTTGAGGCCTTCTATATGCTCAAATACCGTGACATTCTGGTCAATATCCTTCGGTAGGCGCTGGCACTGGAAGACGCCGACGATAATCAGTACCAGGAGGATAATGTTTCCAGAGAACATGGTGAACCAAGGTCTCTTCATCTTTGCACCCCTCCACCGTGCTGTGCCCCGAACCAGGAGTAATATAATGAGGTCAAATACTTGGAAGGTGAGTGAGAGACAAATGATGATGATAGAGGCCCTTAGCCATGTGTACTGTTCATAGCCTTTGAGTGTGATGCAGCCGATACCTTGACTATAGGACGCTTTCACTTCGTATACCTCGCAGCCTGATGCAACTGCAAGGCCTCTGGTGAACAGCGTAGAACACCAATCTGCTGTGACATTCTTGTCACGGGATCCTATAACAGCTTTTGCAAAGCCAAAAAGTTGGAGTACAAGCAGGAGAATTCCGAGTACCGCTGCTAGTAGGGCGATCCAAGCTTGTGCTACGAGGCCCGGAGAGTCATCTCTGCTTTCTGTATTGTACAGAGTTGGGGCTGTCGTCTCAATATTATGTGCCGTAGCTTGCTTGGTTTCTATAGCCCCAAGTTAGTCTCTGTGGACTTTTCGATGGGTAAAGCGCTAGGTCTACATACCTGTCACAGCTGTGGGTGCTCGAACTTCTACCATTCGTGATTGATTCGTCGTAGGCGTGCTTCCTTGACGATCGAAGACTCGTGGGAGTGCTTTCAGGAGGGGACGGAAACGGTTTTCCTCGATAATCAAGAAGGCTAGTTGCATCATAGCGCCGATGTCAAGGACAACGAGTACTGGCATCCAGACAAGCACAGAGTGCGGATCAGTACTGCTGGTGTATGCTTGCAACTGGAACCATATGGTGATACTAGCCAGGATCAAGGAAAGAGCCTGTACCCTCTCCCAACGATGGACTCTGATCAGTGTGATAGGGAAGTGGATAAGGAACCAGGCGAGCGTATATGGCCAGGGGAGAATGGATCCTGCATCATCTGGTCTGATATAGGATGCGAGATCCACGCACGATTTGGCTTCTGTGGAGGATGCATAGAAGTCGGCGACGGTTAGGCCTAATTTTGCCGGCCCGATTTGCGTCGAGTTGTCAACACAATTGATTTGGGCCATATCTAGGGAAAGGTATGTAGGAAGTCAGGTAGAAGAACGAGGAGTCAGTTGTCCACTTCTACAGTATTCACGAGACGATCCGTGACTCAATTTAAAGCTTACATGTGACTGTTAAATAATGTGACTATGGGGCATCAGTGTTCAGTTTTGCCTATCCACCAGTCAGAGCACCTTCTTAAGGAATCAATTAGTAACGCGCAGACCAGATAAGAAGTGCATGCGTAAGCACTCAATAGCTATGCTTTCTCTCATAGGTCCGTATTATTGAAGCTGAAAAAAAGTGCATTTGGGACGGCCATTCGGTGCGGGGTTTCAAAGACAGATCGAGGTCTGGCCAAGCCGTGGCAGCTCTTTTTTAATGCCAAGGCCAAAAGACTGCATCTGAAAGTGGCAATTATTATACGTAGCTCAGCCGCATTCTGCCTTGCATGGTTTATTTCGCAGTTGGTAGATTGGAATTTCTCTGGGAACGGTATGCGCCTAGCAGACTCAGCTATAGCATAGCCGCCACGCGGATATTGCTAGCGAGTACAGTCCGGATATCGGTTGTGACTTACTCTCCCTTGCTTCCCAAAAGTCATGGTTGTCAATATTAGCTTATTTCCACATAACCGGGGGCTGGCATGCAGATCTAATCATCGACTATCTCGGCCTAATGTATGGCCTTCAAGGCGGGAAAACACTCGAAACGGTTCTTCTAGGCTTCTATGGCGCTCACAGCGTGGATGGAATCAGGAACGTTGCCTAAGATTGGTACATGAGACACTATGAAGTGGTCCGAGCAGTGGTGCCCAAGGAGAGACTCCTTGAGTTCAGGCTGGAGCAATCTTGGGGAACATTATATGCGTTCTTTAGGGCATGATATACCGGAGGCAATTAAGTGCCTGTGGACAACAACAGGAGTGAGCAAATTTATCATTTAAGGCCTAAGGGAAATCGCTTTCTTAGGCTGGCTCTTCTTATAGACATAACGAAAGCGAAGCCCTAGGCAATCAGGTTTATTATTATAATAATCAGCCAATATGTAAGAAAGACGCAATAAGACCAGGCACACCCTATAAAGAGGTCGCTTAAATATTATAAGGCAAGAGGCCTAAAATAAAGCCTTCTTAGTCTTTTTATAATACCAGAGGATCTTATGCTTATTATATTATAATAGTTATAATATTTAAAAAGAAAAATTATTAAATCTTTTTATTATATAGCTTATTTTAAGCTTATAATTATTAATAGTTGTTTTTTTTTTAATTATTATAATTTTTAATTTTAAGTATTAAGATCTAACTAAACAAGTGGCCTCAATCCATAAGCATAAAGAAGATGTTTTCCCCATCCTTGGAAGGCCGAATACCCTCTCTATTATCACCCTGTTAAGGCAATCACCACCAAGGCTCCAACCCCAAAAGACTACATCATTTGGCATTCAGGGAAAAACTGTAAATGTTAGCTAACCAAGGCTGGCTCGGCAGCTTAGTAATAGATTGGATCAGGTCGCAAGACAATGCCGTAGGAGAAACACAAGTTGAGGATAAACACAGTTGAATAACACTTGGGAATATATAAGTTTATTAACTTTATACTATATGTAATTTTCTGTAGGTTAATGTTTGGCTTAATAATATTTAAGTATGAATTATAACCTAATATACAAAAGAAATTACTATTAATCATTCGTATTGGCTGTAGATACTTAATACCCAATCCAGGATTCCAAGAGCTTGTATGGCAGACAGTGCAGATTACATTAGCTCAGATGAAGAGAGCTAATGCTGATGCCGTTGAAACTGTTGACGGCACAATATGCCATTTGGGGTGTGAAGCAAATCGGTGAAAGTAGATTTACTCGGTTAGCAAGTGGACAGAGCTAAATGATGGTCTTTTTTGCTATCTCCTGACTTGTCTTAGAGTTATAGGCCGGTCAGAAACCTAGGAAAAAAGTTTTATTCTTAAACTATTAAAAGCAAAGATATAAATAAAGAGAGCTCCCATAGCTTATAATAAAATCTTCCAGAGGCTGCAGAGCAATAAGTAATATTTTTAACCTTTTCTTCGTCCTTATCCCAGCTTACATCACTCCCACTGTTAACTACCATCTCATGGCTATGCTCAAGGTCCACTGTACCTATAAAACGAACAGTGAAATTGCCAGTATAAGCAGCTTCGTCTCCGGTTATATAGTTACGTTCGGGTGTGTAAGATTTCCTCATGGAATCTTGACCAAATGATCCAGCAAAAGCGTGAAAGGGACCCCTCCATTGGAATTCAGCTGACCCGGGATCAAAGCTTCCAGAGAGCAGAGTGTTGTTTGCAGGTTCTACCACAAGAGGATTGCTTCCGTTAGAGTTGTGTATTGGAGCTGTGAACTGGCTGCTGTCAGTTGCTCTGTAGACTCCAAGTCCATCATATGCGCAGTCGAATTCGTATCCGTCGTCCGTACTGGTTACGTCCTGCACCCTGCAGGTTGGGTTGCTGCGGCTCACAGTATCGGAAGGATCAAGCCCGTACATAAATTCGTTATAGTGGAAATCGGAGACGGTTTCCATGGCGAGGTTAACGGGCGGCGGGAGGAATGTGTCGTCCCGTTTTGCGAGGAGCTCGGACTGGTTGGTGTCCTTGGACCAGCCATATAGCACGCCAATGAAGGGATTCTTGGGGCGTGGAATATAAGGTCTACTATTCCCTGCAGCGGCATGCATAGGATCCAGTATAGCCAGTACGCCTGTCAGCTCCCAATTGGCCTTACTTTCTGACTTCTTGCAGGTTCCATTACAACGATCGAGCTCGACTGAAATTTCCTATTTTAAGTGTTAGATAACCACATGCTCTCGCTTCTTGCCAAAGGAATCTTTGTATACTTACTACTGTTCCATTGTAGTACGTGCCAATCCAGCGATGCAGCCAAACTGGACTCGTATGGCCAGCTTCCATGCGACATGGATCACTGCGTGCTTTCTCCTCTGGGCTAGGACCACTGTCACTACTGTCGCCGTCACTGCTTCCTCCACCGCCGCTTGATCCACCGTCGTAGTCGCCGCCGCCTCCTCCACCTCGGCGAGCCTGCACATAGAATGCATTTGCAAGAAGCGCAATAGTCAAGAGTTGGAAACGAAGCATTCTGAGATATACCATCTAATAATGGCTTACAAGCAGAACACTGTCCAGGAGGGATAGAGAAACGAAGAGGTGATAAAATCGCGCAGACGATGCACAAGGTAAGCAGAGTTAGCAAAGGAGGAAATTTGCGCCGGTCGTGCGAATTCATCAGCCGCACCAAATGTCCATCCAATAGACAGCCACTGTTTTATGCTTAATTTCACCTAATTAGTGATTAAGGAAGGTGATCGGCAGTTCATGTGATTGATGATCTAGCTTCGCGACTGGGGTATCAGACCCTAGTGCGTTTGCATTAGGTAATAGGCAAGTCATCTTCCAAGGGAACGAGGGCGATAGGAAACAACAGGAATTAATCTAAGTGTGACTCAATATTGTGCCAGTCAAACAAATCCTGCTAGTATGCAAGCACACCATGCTCCTAGATGAAATGCCCTACCATGCAGTACCCACCTACCAGCACTCATCTATCAGCTATAAGTATGAGATGCGATAATCGAGGAGAGATTAGACTTGGAATTAAGTCAACTAATCATTTTGGTTACCTATGAATGGCTCTTGCCTATACACAATGAGCTCAGCATGGGTGGCATGGATTACGGTATTATAAAACAGGCCCCGTTTCACGTTCTGGTAAACATGACCTGAACAGTAACAGGGCCTGTTACGAGTTTTGGAAATCCCTGTTGACGTTTTTAACCGTTGATTGGCGTAAAACAGGTAACGGGGGCCGTTACCGGCTAGTATACTAGAGTAGGAAAATGCTTACTTTATAATTATCTTTCTATATATACTACTTTATGTATTTTACGTACTATAATGTCTTCGACCTTGCCCTCTCACCTTTTTCTACGACTTTGCCCCCGTAGTTTAATAGCGTGGGTTTTTTGCCTATGGAATTTTCTACGACCTAGCATGCAAAGTCGTAGCTGAATGGTTGATAGTTCAATAGCGTGGTTTTTTTTTCTATGGCATTTTCTACGACCTAGCATGCAAAGTCGTAGCTGAATGGTTGATAGGACTATCTTCCATCTCTATCAAACATCAAACAACAAATAAAGACCGTCCAAAGATGAGTCCCTCGGCTTTCCGCATCATGCTTAGTCCCAGAGACCGCAGCTCTAACGTATGCAACTCTATTATGGTGCCCAACATCTTCAAGGTCCATATTAGTGAGAGCTGCAGCTTCCTTGCGTATGGCCATTCAGTAACTACGTTGTGCTGCGGTAAACCAGAAAAGCGCAATTTGAAATGACTTAAAGCAAAATCCCGTATTAAAAGAGAACTTAGGATATATCATTCCTCGCCCTATATCCAAAATCAGACGGCAAGCCCTTGGCAGGTCTACTCAGTACAGCATCGCGGGACGCGCTGCCACGGCACCTCATCTGTTTCTCCGTCGCCCTTAGGAGCTCCCTGCTGTTCGCGGTGCTGGCATGTGCCTCCCCCAACAACTTGGTCTTGATTTCGAGCAGCTTCTCATTAGCCTCCCTCCAGCGCTACGCCTCCACATAGAATTCGGCCAGGTAGTTGGCAATCCACCACACAGCCCAGTGGTCGAAGCCCAGGGTCTCGAGCGTCGTCTCAAAGGTCAAGAGAAGGAAGCTTTGGCACAAGAGGCTCTTGACGGTCAACAAATTGCGACACTGCAGCACGGTTCCGACGGAACAGACACCCCGGTTCCTAAACGCAGACGGCTGCATGACTGCAAAGTCTGAGAGATTTATTTGCCTAAGGAATGGATTCAGGATGACATAATGGATAGCTGTATCACCCCATCTAACTGCAAGGTGTTTCTTGCATACGTTAATTAGGCATTGTAAAACTCTCAGTCCTGTAGTTCTTATAGTTAAGTATATATAGAATTAATAATACTAATTAAAAATTATTACTGTAAACGCATTAAATTACCTAGTCCTATAGTTTAAATTTAATTATTATATAGTTCTTTTATTTTAAATAATTCTCTTTTTATATTTTAAATTTTATATTAAAATAAATTTTTATTTCTCTTATACTTATATTTTTAGTTTTTTTAATATTAACGTACACGATAAGCATGCCGATCAGACAAGCATGCCGATCAAAAATCCCTCAACCTTACATCTAACCATCTAATCAATTGATTCTCAACCAAATAATATGTCTCAATCTAATAAAGAGGCTCAAATCCTTCTTGCACTTCAGGCCTATCAGGCAGACCCAAAATTAAGTCTGCGACGAGCTGCAAAGGTCTATGAT